CAAATTCACCTGACCTTAATCCAATAGAGCATTTGTGGTCCTACTTGGAAAACCAAATTCGTGCTGCCACGCGACCCCCTCGCAATGTGAGGGAATTGCAGGACCAGTTGGTGAGCGCTTGGTACCAGATACTTCAGACTACCTATCAGCACCTTGTGGAATCAATGCCACGGCGGGTGCTAGCAGTTTTGAGGGCTAAAGGTGGTCCTACATGTTATTAGCAGGGTGGTCATATAGTAATGACTCTTCGGTGTATATATATATGTAGATAGATAGATAGATAATATGCTGTTGCTCGAAAACGGCAAGCTTGGTCATCAATAATTAGTGTAAACAAAGTATTCAACATTACTTTTCTTACAACCTAGCAAAATGAATCTGAATAAATATTTAACGCACAACTAATTTTTTAACACTACTTAAATTATTACTTAAGACAAGCTAACAAAATAAATAACTATAGTTTTGTCAATTTATAGAGAAATACTCGAGTTTATGGTTCCTATATGTTGAGATTATACGTAATTTTCAATATTTTAAGTCTTTATTAATTAAGTCATAATTTTGGCTCTATTTTTAGTGCGATCAGTATTGGCCAAATCGAGGAACAGAAACTTATGGAGTGATGTATGTATCTTTTGCCGATATTGTCGAACTAGCAGGCTACTGCATCAGGACATTTTATCTACAGAGGGTAAGTTTGAACTTAATTTTTATTGAAAATATACACAGCAACATGAAAATTGCCTTATGAACAAGAGATCGTTCTCTATGATGTTCAGGAACATTTCTCCTCAGTTCATTTCTTAGCAATTGTTGCTAAGCAACGAATATTAATATCAGGCCATGGAAGATATCCAAAAATTTTATTAAGAAATTCATGGTTCAAAGGAACATTTCATGGTGTGTTGCCTGTCATGCGGAGCTGTGAGCTGGTGTCCATGTCCATGATTCATAAGAGCAATTTTTCCAGCATAGCACTCGGAAGTAGTGACACATAGACGTTGTTAGCGAGTGTATATGGTGGATAAAAAGCCCCATCAATAATTAAAATATGTATTTCAGACAATTAAAGAGAATTTTCATGAATTATCATCAAAGTTGATAAAGGTAAAATTAAGAGAGAGACTAATCTGTTGCAGATGCGTAACAAGTTAAAAAATATTTTTTTATGGATGAAATTTAATCAATTAGTATGATTGCGTTTTTCAATGCGGACCCCCTCAAAAGTTGAACGCCAGCGACTCTTATTCATTAAGATTTTGATTTATTAGTGCAGCTTATCAACTCTGAATCTTAATTTCTTGCTACTGCCAACTATAGACAGTAAGAAACTACCTTGAGTCCTGCTTTGATTCTAGATAATCTTAGTCTTAAGTTCCTGCTGTAGCTAAGGACTATAGGCCAGGCTTACTTTCTTTCATTCCTGGTATAGCCTATTAATTCTATAGAGACTTATCTACTTGAATTCCTGCTGTAGATATTAGGCAGTCTTACCTTTTTGAGTTCCTGCTGTAGCTAATTGATTCCAAAGAAGCTTATCTTCTTCAGTCCCTGTTGTAGCTTATAGAGTATATGCAGTCTTACCTTATTGAATTCCTGCTCTAGTAAATTAACACTAGAGATATTTATCTCCTTCATTTCTTGCTGTAGATAATTCACTTGATTCTTAACATTTAATTGTATAATTTTGTTTTTTCTTCAAATTCGAGCTCTAGCCACTTGAGATAGCTAAGTATTCTTTTTTGTTTGTTTGTTTCTTAAGGTCGGATTTCCTGAAAAACGAGAAGTCAGGCAGTTCCAGTTCACAGCCTGGCCGGATCACGGTGTTCCTGATCACCCCACCTCATTCCTTATGTTTCTGCGTAGAGTGCAAGCCATGAATCCCATGGATATGGGACCCATTATTGTTCACTGCAGGTAGGTGCAATCCCTATTTTTGTTTGATAAAAATTTAAATATTAAATGATCAAAAAATTATTTTCTGGAAATATAGTCCTGCAGAACTTCCTCTAAGATTATTCTGACAAATTTCTACTTCTTGTTTACTCTAACAACTATTTATTAGCATCTATTGCTTTTAGCTAATCAGTTTAAGCCCCTTTAGGATCGGTGAAAGGAGACAGAACCGTTTCCCCCAGACTCGCACGCTCCGAGTTTATACGTACTAGAGTACGTGTACGTGATAGTACGAAATGTAAGAGAACTGTATTGAGATCACGTCCGTATGATCATAGGCTATTAGAGTTAGAAAGGCTCATTTTACATATACCGTTGGCCGTTAAGAGAGAATCCCGCAGTCCTGAGGATGTTAAATAGACCCTGCACAATTTTATGAGTATTTGCCAGTAGATGTTATTTTGACCAAGCTATGGTATGGAATATGACCAAACTTAGTGTTATAAGTATTAATTCCGTTTAACCTCAATTTTGTTACAGTGCTGGCGTTGGCCGAACGGGTTGCTTCGTAGTGATAGACTCAATGCTGGAGAGGCTGAAGCACGAGACCACAGTGGACATCTACGGACACGTGACGTGTCTCAGAGCTCAGCGTAACTACATGGTTCAGACGGAGGACCAGTACGTCTTCACCCACGACTCCGTCCTGGAGGCTGTCATAGCGGGTGTCACAGAGGTCCCCGCTCGTAGCCTCTATACACATATACAACAGCTCCTGCAAGTCATCCACGGAGAAGGATGTACCGGCATGGAGCTTGAATTTAAAGTAAGTATGCAATAGAATTTATATTTTGAACTAGTTACGTCCATTACGATAGTGATAACTGGATGCTTGATGTTTTCAATATTATAAAACTCTGAAAGAGATTTTACTTTTGCACATAAAATGTTGATATGTAACACTAATGTTCCGCTAGTGGGGTAAGATCGGGTAATTGAACTTTTTATAGAAAAAAAAAGTACTTTAAAAAAGTAGTACATGTATGACTTTTCAGAAATGATATATTGTACACAATTAAACACTGAATATCTTGATTAAATCTGACAGTTTCTCAGCAGAGCGGATCAGCTCCAATGCGACCTAGAATCTTGACTATCCTACGTGTAATCTTATTAAGTTGGAGTAGTCTTGCAAAGTTTAAATTTAACCCAATTAATTTAGCTCTCAACAACCTATTATATTCCTTTTTTAGATTATCAAAATGCAACAAACGTACGAACACTTGCTCAAATAATCTTTTTAACAAAATCTTAACTCGTCTTATAGAATCTTCTGTAAAAGTTATTAATAAAATTCATTAATTTAATTTAATCATAATTTAATTTATTAATCATAATTCAATTCTTTAATTTAATTCATTGATTTAATCATAATTTAATTTATTAATCATAATTTAATTCATTGTTTTAATCATAATTTAATTTAATTCATTAATTTAATCATAATTAATTTTTAATCATAATTAATTTTCCCTCATAATTTAAACAAAAAGTATACAGTTTCTAATATTTTCGCAAATAATTATCGATTACTATGCTGCTATTGCATATAAAACTCATATTTTTAACCTTAGTGCTTATTAATAATGTTATATGTAATGTTGTTATTTTTTTACATGCTATTAACACTGTGTTAACTCTTACAGAAACTCAGCATAATTAATGGTAAATCTATAAAATTCGTGAGTGCCAATCTACCAGTTAACAAATTTAAAAACAGACTAATGAATATACTTCCATGTAAGTATCACTAATCACCTCTTTCTAAATGTTTAACTAATATTTTAATGTCGGCAAAATAACATAATCTATTAATATAATAATTCAGTAAAAGTGGGCAAACAATTTAAGCAGCATTTTAGTGAACTTGAAAAAAATCAGCAGTATAATCTTTATTTTAAATATGAAATTATTATTTTAAATAATTTGTTCGATATCAGCGACTTCATTGAAAGAATAGACGAAATAAATTAATATCATATACTTATAACCGACAATAACATGTTGTTGTTTTTTTCAGAAGTCTCCTAAAAAAGTATATTTATATTAAATTAATAGCATCATCATAAGTAAAAGCATATTATAATAACATTATTCAACAAACTCTGAGCTGTATTTAAACCAGTTGAAAGAAGAAACTTTAAGAGAGTAAATGCAAGTAAGACCAGGGGACCTTATTAAGGAGGTCCTGATTAAAGACAATTGAGACAAACCATGGGGAAAGAACGGTTTATGTTCATAAAAACTGATTCGAAGAAAAATGATTTGGCACGCGTAAAGGAAGAGTTTTTCCACAGTACCGGCCCATCTTTACAGTGTAATAACTCAAGAAAAACCGATTTTTCCTGTTATTGATTAGTCAAAATGCAACAATTGTCGACCCAATCGTCATTTCTGTGAAAAATAAAACTGTTCAACCGCCTTGGTCTTCAATTATTATCAGCAGTCTAGATAACTTGATTTGTATCGAAATTAGAAACAAAATTTAACAGCGTGCATACACTGAGTAGCCGCCTTATAATAACTAACTGACAGTCTTATGCAAATGATTTATTGCATCACAGAGATTCTGCTAAAAGGCTAAGTGTAGGTTGAGCACGTTTATTTAGTGTACATAATAGTCTGAATAAGGCATCATACTTAAACATCCCATACTGACCATCATCATCACACAACCATGGCCAAGCACCTAGCCTCGTTTTTAGGGTTCTTATCTTTTATTGGGCATGGTAAGAATGCCACGCAATTTTGACTCAGACGACATGAACGGCGCATGAGCTGGTACCATTCTCTCAGAATTGCCACACCACAACCAACGAGAGGACTTCTAGCAACAACAGATTTAGAGTGCACCTTGTTGCATATACTCGCCAGTTGTTTTATCAGCTATTGGAATCGAACTCACTACCTCCAGCTCTCCAACCAGCGGTGTGAGCGTTAACCGGCTGTGCCACAGGAGCGCTGACCAAGAACATCCTGTAATACTCATCATTTATTCCAATGGTGAAGGGTATATTCAGCAATATAATGCTTCTTGACATATTGTAAGAAACATTATGGAGATTAATCCTACTGAGATTAATCCTACTGAGCGTACGAAGTTGAAAGAGTCGTCCCTCCAGAACTATCGAGTCTTTAAGTGCTTTTCTTCAAGCATCGTCTCAGTAACAAAATCTATAAATCTAATCATACTAAACGAAATTTTAATCATTCAGGGAAATTTGTGCGAGTAAAAATTAAAAGATGTTAGCGGGCCCACGATTAGGAAAAACGCCATTTTAAGTTTTTGATAGTTTAGTCCCTCCTATACAAGAACCAATGCGGCAGGATTTTTTATTTATAAAATCATTATTTTTCATTCATAAATTAATCTCGAATATCATGTCCATTGGATAAATAGACCTTTTTTTTCATACTTGATACAGATGAATCCACGCGAGTGTGCCTGCAGCCAATTAGAGGAGTAGATGGGTCAGACTATATCAATGCTAACTATATAGACGTAAGTATAAAAAATTAACCTACTATTTATTTCTATTTAATAACCGATTGAGCTTTTGTGACACCTTAAAGACGTCCCTTCGCCCACTATTTTCCTCGCAGAAAAAAGACGAGAAAATGTATATTAAGGAGTAATTGAATATTAAGGAAATTGTATATCAAGGAGTAACTTTTATACTAACTTTCCTAAATGCGAAACCCTCCATTTGAAAAATAGTATGTAATAATTTACTTTTCGTAAATTAGACTGATACGTTTTTCGTTTCGATTTATCCGATTTTTGTAAAAATTTCCTAATATTGAAACATTAATAAGTTTATTCTATGACTAGGTGGAAAAAATGTGACGAATGACGTAACATGCAGAAAATGCATGGGTGCATGACGTCATTCTGACGCAATTTATAAATCGAAGTTTTTATTACCTGGTCTGAAAATATGTCAATATTTTTTAAGACAAAAAAAAATCATTAAAAAAAATTTATCATTAAACAAACGTATTCCCACATTGCATCGTACGTTCTGCATTGTATCTTTAGTTTCTATTCAGTAAAAATATTTTTCATTTGTTCTTATGACTTATATTTTAAATAATGTGAGTTTTGACTTTTTAAAAACTAATAACAATCTAAAACTTTAGTCAAATCCTACATCGTTATGAATTTTTAAATTTTTTTATTTTAAATAATGAAAAATTGTTTGACTTACCAAAAAAATGAGAAAAATTGATTTTACAAATTAATAAAATGATTTTTAAAAAATCATTCATATTGAAGAATGTGTTATCCAATGCCATTTAACACTTTTTTGAAGCGAATAAAGGTCTGAATGAATCGTAACGAGTATTTTATTTTAAATAAAACAACGAAAAATTTTTGAATTACAAAACAATGATATAAAAGTTAGGCAAATCAACAAAATGATTTTAAAGCATTATTCATATTAAGAATGCATAACCACTATTCTAAAATCAATAATCGTCTGAATGTTTTTAGAGGAATCCTAACAAAATTTTTATTCTACATAATATAACGAAATTGCTTGAATCACTAAAAAATGACAAATTTTAGCTTTACAAATTAATAAAAAGATTTTTAAAAAATCCTTCACAAAATTAAAAGTTAATCAATTACATTGCCACTTTTCTTAAATTAATAATTTTCTTTTTAAAAATCATCCAAAATGTGTTATCCAAAGCACACTGCATTAACTTGATGATAAAAGTACAGAATAAAATTTAAATGTTCTAGGAACCATTAATAAAAATGTAATTCTGATTAAAACGCATTTTTCTATATTTTTTTACACAATTTGGTACAACCAAGTAATAGATTTGTTAATGTTGAATTTAATATTGATTTATCAAAATACAACACAGTGAGTCCAATATAAAGTTCAAAGTGACATTTTAAAAAAATTGAGGGGAGGAAGTCAAAAATTTTAAAATGAAAACAATTAGAGGCTTTTTAATTAGCTGAAATTTTGAAAATTTCAAATTTTTCCTTAAAGAAAAAAAAAGTTTTTTGAAATTTTCTCTACAGTCGCCAATCAAGTGTTTGATAAATAAAAGAAGTGAAATTTATAAATCATCTTTCAATGCTAGAAAATTAAGTCATTGGAAGTTATGTATATGAATTAAAAAATTTTAATTCTCAAGCAAGCTGGGAAAATAGACACAATATTTGACTATACTGAATTCAATCTTGATAATTCACAGAGGTATATAACATATATTTTACTACAATGTGCATAAAGAAAAAAATATATGTTCTAGCCACTTAAAAAACTTAATTAAAATGTTTCAGTGATTAATACAGTTTTCAATGTGTAATTAAGTCTTAATTATTATTTTTTGAAGGGATATCGTGATAAAAATGCTTATATAGCAACGCAGGGTCCCCTGGCGGAGACCACCGAAGACTTTTGGAGAATGCTGTGGGAACACAACTGCAACATTATAGTCATGCTAACCAAATTAAAAGAGCTTGGAAGGGTGAGTTTTTCTTTTTCAAATTCAATTTCGACTAAGAATAACAAGGATTTTTATCCCTAAGTTTTGAAGAAATATGAGGGGGAAAAAACATTTTGTCACCCCCCTTTCTTAATGGGAACCTTTCAAATTTTATGTATGAATTTTTGGAAGTTTTATACAATTTATTTCTTTTTTAGTTATCTAAAATTCCAATTCAAAAGGAATTTCTTACACTTTTTTTTTCAAAATGGAGTAATTACTCCGATTAATTTAAACAAGTGACATTTCAAGTAAAATCATAAATTTTTACATGATATGAAGGAAGAACAGTCCCTGGGAGATAAATCTGCCCATGAAAAGTATTTTATCAACGCTTTGGAGTACAGGATAGATCCATTATAGGCGCGTTATTGGTAAAGGACACTGCTCTAACTAACACCAATTCAGTCCACCTCGTGATATCTCATGTCATGTTAATATTTAAAGATTATTAAATTTAAGGCCGCAAATTCGTTGAAAATTAAAGTAAATAACACTTAATGCTAATGTTTAATGTTGTTGAAGAAAAAAGGTTGAAAATGATTTTGATGCTATTTATTTTATTTTAAAAAAAGAATAAAACATGATTAAATTTATAAAATTTTAAATTTTAAAAGCTATGAATCATGTAATGCCTATAATGGCATAACAATTTTAAAATTCAGTAGTTACAGAAAGTTATAATTTTTTGGTTTATTTTTAAATAATACTTATTTTTCGTTACTTTTAAATAAAAAAAATAATCTAAAAACTACCAAAAACATAGACAAATTTAGTTCATTTTTCGGACAAAACACTACATTCACAAAAATGGGTTATGCCTAAAAAATAAATACGGCAAAGCACTTTAAAGTCTTATTTTAACTACAATTTTTTTAAGCCTATTAGTAAATAAAAAACGCTATCATTAATTAGCAAAATAAAAAGCACTGTCAGAAATAAAACGTAATAAAACTGTTTGCTTTTCTTTTTTGTAAACCTACTACTACAAATGCTGTAAGAACACAAAATAAGAGAAGCACTTTTTCAAATAAATCACATCGTAAAATTATAAAAATCTTGAATCCTTGAAAAACTTTTCTTTCCTGTAATAATGTAGAGGTAATGAGTATCCAATTTAAAACAGTACTTATTGACGCTTAGTTATAAAGAAAAGTACTTGTTGTTCCAGGAGAAGTGCCATCAGTACTGGCCAAATGAGAGATCTCAAAGGTACTTATACTATGTTGTAGATCCAATCACAGAATACAACATGCCTCAATACATACTGAGAGAATTTAAAGTAACAGATGCCAGGGTAAGTATATCCCTCATTTATTTATTCCTTGTTACTCAGTTAATCAACATTAATAGATCAATCTAGAACATAGATTCTCAACCTTTTTAACGTTGCCGCCCCCTTAATAAGCAAAAAAACATATCAACGCCCCCCTTTGTGATAATCCAGTTATTTAGAGCATGTGGACGGTAGGGGGCTGCTGAATTATAAGATGCACTTTTAGGCAATTTTTAAGCGTTAAATTTACAGGGTTTTTTTTTGAAAAATTTAATGTTTACGTTAACTCTATAATTTTCTCCCGGCAGGTAATCGCAGTCTATTTGTCATAATAAAAATAAATACGGTAATGAAAAAAAAAGTTCAACGAAGAAAACTATGCTTAAAAAGAGTCACTTGTTCTTAATTAGATAATTAAAAAAACACCCAAAAATAAAAGTAGTATTAACGAAACAATCAAGTTACTATGTCAGTGGAATGATTGTACTTGATGGTTCATAGCCAATTTCTTAACGTTCGGTTCAATATTTTTACTGAGGTGAAGACGCAAGTCCTCGCGTTGCATGATTTCGAGACCATTTCTCTTTTTTGTGACTTGATCCATAACAGCACTGAATCCACGTTCGACGAAGTAGGAGAAAGGGAAGGAAATTAAAAATAATTGTGAAAATTAGAATGAATTTTGACAAAAGAATTTTGACAGTCCAGAGTAGAGGCGACTGGTGTTACCTTGAAGCCAAAATTCTGTGAGTTATCACCAGTTCAAAGCTTCATTAGTTGAAAGTTTGCCCGATTCCTCCTGAATCTGAACCTCTTCTGTTTCAATATTCAAAAAAGGGTTAATAACCCATTGAAGGAAACAGAACAAAACACATTTATAACGGTCAGAAAAGTCCATGTGCAAAGAGTCAAGGTGTTAACTATATTCTTGTGTATCATCAGAGGAAATTTCGCCATTCTTTTCAAGATACGATAAGATTTGAAATTGGTTGAACTCATTCCTACCAAATTTCTGCTTCCAAAAAATAAGTTTTTTTGAAATGTAGAAATAACTGATTTCGTAGGGATCAAATTGAGTTTGTCACCTTGAAGTTGCAAATTAACGCCATTAAATTTTGCAAATAAATCCACCAACGTCTATCTTAAATTCTAGCAATCTATTTCTCAGAGCTACATTCTGTCTTCGAGGAACTCAAGCACAGAGTCGAAAAGATTCAAAAACCCATTGAGACAAGGCATCCTTTGGAAAGCCAGCGAATCACGGTGTAGTAGCAAGCGATATTCTTCATAGTTTTTCTAAACAGCTGTCTGAGTAATTAATCGATGAGAACATTACTGCGAATTTTGTTCGCAGCAGATATGACATATTGCAATGACTGATGCAAACGGTCGCTGAGATTTTTCTTACTACTTACTGTCTGTGAATCACGCAGTGAACTGCTAAAATATCTGGTACCACCCTCTTCAAAACTGCGAAAAACCCACCATGTCGACCCACTATTGCAAAGGATATTTTTGATTAAATCGGATGAGGCTGGATAGTGTAAAACTGTTCCTAAAACTTCCTTAACAGCGGCAGTATCAATTCTTCGACGATTCGTCCCAGATTTAGCAATTAATTTTGATATATTATAAGAACTTATCAAACCATCATCGCATTTTTGTTGTTAGTAAGCCAGAGGCCAAAGGTGCCTTCAGAAACTTGTCTTTGATGTTCGTGAAAAATGACAAATATTTGTTTTGTTTGTTAGAATGAGTATTTTGCAAATGCTTCTGCTAACGCTCCATTGTTTCATTATATTAAACTTTGTTATAAAATAAATTCATGGGTAGTTGAGAGTTCGACAGCGATTGAACAAATCTAAACTTCAAGTGCATGGCACTGTATGGAATATACTTCTTTATATTAACCGACATTGTTGGTGGCAGCAAAATACGAATGAAAGAAAATCAACTGTTTTTTCAAATAAATAATTTACGATTAAGAACTAATTCACAAACGTCCCTGGACAAATAAACAATGAAATCGAATCGAAACTGGGTAAAAAACTGCTAGGAAGCAAACTAAACCATCATAAGAAACACGGGTCAAATCGAACATTTTTACAAAAAGTGCGTGCACTTTAATTCTCCCCAAATGGCTTGAATGTCAGAGACAAAAACTACTGACTCATGCGCTGTGCTGTGGTGATTCGGATCGGAGAATATGTGTTGCATAAGTTCGTTTTACTGCTGGTATTAATGTTGTATGAGATAATCTAAATTTATTATATTAATTTAATCTTTTTTTTTCTTTATCATTAATTTTATTTACTAAATGATTCTTAATTTAGTAATTTTATTTGGGAGTATTAATATTAAATTTGAATAACATAACCTGCTTATCGCCCCCCTACCGCCCGAAACATACCTAACGCCCCCCTGCCGCCCAAAACAAGTCCACCGCCCCTCATCATACTCCCAACGCCCCCAGGGGGGCGTTATCGCCCCCGTTGAGAAACACTGATCTAGAAGCTTTGAGGAAGAATATGTTAAGAAACATTTTAGTGAAGAATTTTAAAATATTTTCTTCTGCAACGCTCTTTTATTAAAATAAACATAACCATTATAAAGCGAATAATTTCCATATTTAAATTTACCTAATTCAAACTTTCTTATCCAAAAATAGTTCAGTTTCAAAAATCAATGAACACCATCAACATTTTTAAGTTACAACTGTTACAACTGTTTAAGTAATGACTTGCTATCATATATGGCAGTACTTTTACTTTCGTTACTTGTACCGCCGGTACAAGTAAAAAGTACGTACTTTTACTTGTACTTCGTTACTTTTTAAATTTAGTACTTTTACTTGTACTTTCGTTACATTTTTAGGGAAAAAGTACAAGTATTTGTAACGGAAATATCGAATGAAATCGTTACTTTTTTCTAAAACTCGATAAGCTTTCTAAAAAAAAAAAAAATTTAAATTAGAAAAAAATGTTTACGTTTTCTTAATTTATAAAATTAATGTGCAATATATATGCATTCACAGCTAACTTCGTGTTTAAATACCTTCTGTTTCAACTTATACTGCACATTCAATTATTTTTTACTAGCTCAAAGCTCACAAAGCTATCTGAAACTCCGTGTTTGCTTTGTTTAGGTTTGTGCTCTTAAAACGCTCTTCTAAAGAGTAAAACAATTTTAAATCAATGGTAATTTAAATAAATAAAAATAATAAACTAAAAATTAAAATCAATAGATAAAATTTCTTTTTCGTGCAAGTCCGTAAAAAGTTTGATATTAAAATTATATTTGATTTTAAAATTATATTATACGATTATATTATAAAATTACATTATAATATTCTTCCGAAATTAAAAATAAATTAAATTAATAATAAATTAAATTAAATATCCATAACTTTCAAAATTAAAAATAATTAAATAAATAACAATTTTGCAAAAACATTAAAGAGCATAAGAATATTATTCAATAAAATTTTTAAGTTACATTGAATTTTCGATTTCCTAGAAATGTATTTTTAAATCGTTACTTTTTTTGTTTAGTACTTGTACTTTTACTTGTACTTTTTACTCGTTACTTTTTTTAAAAATACTTGTACTTTTACTCGTTACTTTTTAAAAGTAACGTTGCCATATATGCTTGCTATAGATCAAGTGCAAACACAAATATCTATCGTCAATTTATAAAAAATTATTTATTTTGAAAAACAAAACTATTTACCCTCAATACATTGTCTAAGCTCAAAGAGCTTTGCTAAAGCAATTATCAAATATTCAATAAAACTTAAAGCTTAGCAAATCGCTGCTACCATATTTTGAATTGATAATTAGAAATTGATTCGAACTGGTCAGAGCAACATACCAGTTATAGAAAAGAAACTAACAAAGTATTAAAAGAGATAATAAAAAAAGTCCTTGATAAAATGCCATAAACTCACAGCATTGCCCTTTTGGCATGAACAATAAGACATTCAGATATTAAAGATAGAATAATAATTTACAATTCTGATGCTTGCAACAAAAATCATTACAGACACAATAGGAATTTTTTACAAAAAATAAAAATTCCTGTTACAGTAGGGAACCGATTATCCGGAACGATCGGGACCATCGCTATTCCGGATAACTGATTTTTCCGGTTTTCTGAATCGCTACAAAGAGCCTTTTTTTTTTATTGTTAAACCCAACTAAAAAAAAAAATTTAGAAATATTCTTAAAAAGAAGAAAAAATGATGAAGTAATACACTAATGATTATTTCCAAAATGATGGTAAGGTAAACATCTTTCAAATAAGAAAGAAAAATCCTAAAGTCTTATGAGGAAAAAAAAATTTGTTTATTTTAAATATTGCGGGAAAATTTATTGAATTTCGTTCCGGTTTTCTGATTTCCGGATAACGGGTTTTGTACTGTACAAGCAGAAATAACTTATGTTACTTATTTTTTACAGGAGGACAAAATAATTTTTGTAACAGTGATTATTTTCACTTAACTTTTTATGTATGGAGCTTAACGAAATTTGTAACAGTTTTCACATTGTGTTGTGATTTAACAGTTGTGGTTCAAATTTAATCCTCATTAAGGCTATAACAAAACTAATGGTGCAACTTCTTGTTTATTTACAATATTTTAAAGTGGATTAGTTTAGTATCAATGCTAATAGTGAAAATGGAGAAATATACTTGACTATTAAAAACTTAACCTTAATGATGTTTTTGAATGAAATGTTTTGCCTTTAATCTGAGATTTACACTCTCGGTAACACTTTTCATTTCCATGTATGCTTCAAAATTCTTTCAATTATTTAAAATAAATCATTAAAAGTAAAATATCAGTTTGCCAATGCCACACTGTTTACAAAAATGTGATTGAAAAAAAAATCTTATTTCTCTTTCAGGATGGCCAATCTAGAACAATCAGACAATTTCATTTCACAGACTGGCCAGAACAAGGGGTGCCCAAATCTGGTGAAGGTTTCATAGAATTCATTGGTCAAGTACATAAAACAAAAGAACAGTTTGGTCAAGAAGGTCCCATCACAGTTCATTGCAGGTAAGAATACAAATATGATATTTGGTATCTGTGTATTTTTTCACCCTGGTTGCAGAATTCTCATTAAGTGCTTAATTGAAAAAATTAATGTCTAAAATTTGTATAGTATATCATAAAGAATCCACTTTATATTGATAATTTTCTCTTAAGTATTGAATAAAATCTCTAAATCATTTGGACTTAATCTATGGAAAAAAACAGATCTCTTTATAAAAAAAGATAAATGATGGTAGCAACATTATTTAAGTTTTATAATATCAATCAAAATTTAAAAACTTTGAAATTGAATTGCTGTTATATAGATTTTTTTATGATCAAGTGGTAGCTGACAAAAGAAAAGGCTCTCTTAATTTAAGCCTAAATTTTCAACACTTAATTACTTCTAAACTGTTATCAGAAAAATTTTGAGGCCTTCTAATGTTTTAAACATGCTGAAAATAATTTTTTTTTTTTTTCTGTCAGTGTGAAAATTTAAAAAAAAAAAAAAAAAGTTCATAGAATAACAATAGACCACAAACATAATTTTTTTAATATATATTGTATAGTCAGACTATGAACGAAAATAAATTTCATTTAAGTTTTCTCAGACTGAAGCCCTCTCTGCATATGGCAAAAGATAAATGCATTAAAATTTTACATATCAAAAACATTTTTAGAACATTAAATACTAAATTGATATTGAAAATTATAGCAGCTTCTAAGTAAAGTTAAATCAAACAGCTGAGACAAGTTTTCCTACCAAAATAAGTTTAATACCATCTCTTGGTTATCACATAATATTGTATGCTATGCAACATTACAAAAATTGCAAAATATCATATAAATTATAATAAGCTATAACTAATTAGTATACTAACGCTGCTATAAATGAACTTAAATATAAGAAACAGTAAAACTGCATCTTAGCTCGGTATCAGTTTATATAAACTGGATCCAACTTAAATTCATCAATATGTATAATGTTGTTTTTTAGCGCTGGCGTTGGTAGGAGTGGTGTCTTCATTACCCTCAGCATAGTCTTGGAGAGGATGCAGTTTGAAGGAGTAGTCGATATATTCCAATCTATCCGCATATTACGCACACAAAGGCCTGGCATGGTTCAGACAGAAGTAAGTTGAGCATTTTTAGTTTACTTATATCGAAAATCTAAAGAGAGTTGCAACAAGCAACTTTAATATTATTCGGAATAACATTTCAAAACAGAATGAAAGTAGAATGAGTAACTTACATTTGGCAAAGTTTTCTTCAAATCTCCTTTTTTTACTCAACGCCGAAATTACATAAGATGTATCGAACTTAGTTTCAAAAACTAAAGCTTTATCAAAAAACTGTTTATCTGGCATAGATAAATTTAATTAAAGTGCCAAATATAGATTTATTTCGCAAAACATTCTGTTATTTAACAGAAACTTTCCTTATTATTGATACTCTTTCCTTATTACTGAAAATCTAAAGAGAGTTGCAACAAGCAACTTTAATATTATTCTGAATAACATTTCAAAACAGAATGAAAGTAGAATGAGTAACTTACATTTGGCAAAGTTTTCTTCAAATCTCCTTTTTTTTACTCAACGCCGAAATTACATAAGATGTATCGAGCTTAGTTTCAAAAACTAAAGTTTTATCAAAAAACTGTTTATCTGGCATAGATAAATTTAATTAAAGTGCCAAATATAGGTTTATTTCGCAAAACATTCTGTTATTTAACAGAAACTTTCCTTATTATTGATACTCTGAATAGTTGTAAAGCAAGAAAAATTAATGCATACCAATAATTTTGAGATTCTGGTATATAAATATGTCAAAAACTCCATGTTAATTATCCTTTTTGGTTCCAGCCAGCCAATTCTATTCAACTAAACGGGTTATTCAATTAAAAGAGGAGTGCATTATTCAATTTTAAATACTGTTATTACAAAATTTTAATTTTAAATGGTATTTAATACATAGTATTATGTTTTAATAAACTCATTTTTACGATCCATAAACAATTATAATTTAAGTTATTAATATTAGTATAATAAATGATGAATGTCATTTAAAGTAATATAAATTTGAGTTAAAGGAGATTATACTATTAAAAAAAAAATTTAATATAAATTGAAATCTCAGTCTAATTGATACAACATATAACTTTAAATTAATTAGTAAGCCACATCAAAAAATCCGAATTGGCAGCACCTGATTTTAATCTTTCTCATCCGATTTAAATTTGATTTTAATTTTTATACATTTTGAAAAGTTAAGGAGGGAAAATTTAAGACAGTGTGATTATTTTCTTATTAGAAGTATAATACAGAATACTCTCAATATCTCAAAAACATTTTCCACCTTGGCATTATATATCCACCTAATGTTAATTTGAATTCCTATGTCGTAGAGTTTCTTCTAAAACCTTGTTATGTCAAATTTGTTTCCAAATAGAAAATTAATTTTTTCGGAAAAATCACAATATACGTTAAATATGTTCTAAACCAATTATTTTCTATTTAATGCATAATTATCTTTGTCCTTACCTTTTAAAAATATCATTGTTGTATTTAGATTTATAGTCAACTAACATTACATACATATTTTATAGTAGTTATTCCTATATTTTATGACTCTACCTTTTAGAGTAAAATTTTAGAACATATTTAGTTCTGAACTTGTTATCTCGAAAACTCGCTCTCTTGAAAATCTCTAAGCGTCCCTTCAACTCTAAGATATTGAGAGTATACTGTAATAATAAACTAGAAAATTGTGGATTTGATGAAGAATCTTATCACTGTTATAAGCTAGAAAAGAAAAAAAAAATTCTGTGAAAATTTCTTTCACTGTTATTAGTTAGTCATTAATTGCTTTTCTATTTTACAGGACCAATACCAGTTCTGTTACCGTGCTGCTCTGGAATACTTGGGTTCATTTGATAACTACGCCAATTGAAAATGAAGAAAAAAAATATGAACACTTGCCAAGGAACCGCACCCTTCCTCAATCTTCCATCTAATCACAAAACAGGGTAGCATGGTCACTCAAGTGGTCGCTGAAGAGGGGCAGCGTCGTGAAATTGCAATTTCTTCAGTTGGTCTCGGTGGCGATTCCAACGTGTTGCACAATCAGCTGTTCTTCTGAGTATATAATTCTTCGACCGAGGCTGCTTCTTCGTCAAAAAAGTCCCTCCAGAAAGACCGAAGCAGCGGCCTTTGCCAAGTTCCTTTTCGTTCGTTCGTCTCTAACATCAAAATATTCTAAAGCATGTGTTTTATTTTTCCTCTTCAGAACTTCGATACGATAAATTTGTGTAAAAAGTGCTATTGTTTTCACGACTTATAAATAAAAAAGAAAACTTCATAAATTATAAATCAATTTAGTGGTGCTCTTCTAATTCTGGGCCTTTTCCGGCCCACGCTGAAAAGAAACTATTATTAAGACTCTTACATATATCCGGTTGGTGATAAATATATATTGTTGTTTGAAGATATTTCTGTTCGTTTTATGAAGATTTAAATGTATGTGCATTTAAAGTGTTTGTTGGCACACAAAGAAATGTTTTCAGCTACTTTTTATTGATGTTTTTCAAAACACAGAGTGATTTTAAACTAGAGGACAATTCTAATTAAAGACTTTGCCATGTTTTTGTATTCAGTTTTATGTCTCTACACTCTGAACATAAGAAAAAAATGTTGATTTTGAAAATAAAATTTAAGATGACATTAAAGTCAATGGTAAAATGGCTTTAAAGAATAATGAACCAGAATTGGCACCATTGGATAGGCAAATATCATTTGAACCATGCCAAAATCACAAGTCTTCAAACTTGCACCTTTTCAATTTCATGGTTTTGGCATGGTACTAATGATGTGCCCAATTGACAGTGAAAACAGGTTTATCCCACCCACAGCATATTTTGACATTTTTAATCTTAAAAATAAGCAAATCAGTACTATGAATGTTTTATGCATTTTAAAAAGAAATTTAAAGGCAGGTAAAAAGAACTCATAGTTAAAAGGAAAATAATTCTAAAATTTGGGAGAAAATGAAATCCAAAATAAGAAAAAATAAATATATGACAAGCATTGAGAACGCTAGAATAAAAAATCATAACTTCCACCTTGTACAGCCATTGCAGAAATTTCTTAGTTGCAACATTTATACTTCAAAGTGTAAAACTTGGCATTTTAAGTTTTAAAAAATATATTTTTCACACCAATATAAACTAATAATTCAAACACATGTATATAAAATTTATTAATAAGACAGATATGATTTTAATTGTAAGTAAAGTAGTTTAATTTTTTAAAATTTCTCCTACTCAAAATTACAACGATTTTGAAAATTTTTTCCCAATGACGGTACAAGTTGACAACTATGAAAATAGCACAGAAACAAAATTAGTTATTTCATACAAATACGAGTTATAAATAAACATTTATTCAAATTGATACCTAAACAATATATTTACAAAGTAATTGAATACATTACATAATATTTAAAAGAGCTCACTATCTTCCTTTAGACACAAAACCATCCACATGTGAATCCATTGAAATGTATCGTTCCCTGATGTCTGCTACTTTGGCGTCCTCAAATTCTGCACTCATGGCACATGACAACATGTTCTGAATATTTCTATCTTCTTCGTTAATACCAAATAGGTAGCCATTTGCCTTATCTGCGCCTTGAAGCACTTTGGACATGCATTCCTTGAGCTAATAATGGAAAAAAATTTATTTTAATAAAAATGTCACAAAATTGTCAGTTAAGCATTGTTATTTAAAATGTTCTGTCAATTTTTGATAACTCAAATCTAATAGGACTGATAAAAAATTTTGATCCATCAAAAATTCAACTTTTGTTAGAAAATAATAGCAATAGTCCTATTGACAACAAATTCATAAACTCACATCATTAAAAGTTTAAGAATATTCAAGAGTCGACTTTCAAACAACTAAAATTTTAAGAAATAATCAGAGGGTCAACTTAGTCACCAGTAATAAAGGCGGGCATTCATTGGTCATGAAATATCGAGGCATTATAAACCATGACAAAAAAAATAAATAACTCTGTATCAATTAACCTCTTTCTAAAACTATTTTTAATATGTTAAGTACAATTAATTTTGTGTTTCATTTCATAATATTTTCTTTACAACCAGATAGTATTTATATTTATTCTAGAGAGTATTTCAAAAAATTTAACACAATGGAAAGTTTTAAGACATAGCATAAAGCTGGAAATTTAAAGATTCTAGAACATCATCTCTGTTAGATTCAATAATGTCAGCAGTGTTGTCATACGGATCCCACTTTGAAAAGGATTCTACTTCATCCTTATCTGCTGTGTCCCACAAGAAAATCATCTTCACCCCACCCAAAGAATTCAAAATTCCACATTTATTAATATTTTTTTAAGGGGGCACTTCATAATATCTATATTTGAGGGCAAATGTTGTAATCCGGAAAGAACAATGTGAAATATTTTTTACTTATATATATTTTGTAGACTTCATATTTTTTGTTTTTAAATTTTTATATCAGTTTTTTTTCAGCGGACAACTTATAAACATGATATAACAAAAAATAGGGAGTCTACTTATATACTGGGATATACAGTTTATAGTTAAATGTTATATCTTTCTTCTTCATGGTTGGATTTCTATCTACATCTATGATAAAATTAACTTTATTATAAATGTTAAGAGTTTTGAACTTATGCTAAGAAATCTTTAGCCATTTACAATTTATCCGTACAAATTCATATAGCAAAGCAAAAGAAGCAAAAGCTCACCCAGGACTTTAGTGAGTTTCAAATGAGTAAGATAAATTTGAATGCATACATCAACATTGAATCTTTTCATTTTCAATGCAGTATTGATATAAACAAAATAGACTAAACACTAACACAAATAACAAGGACAAAAGAAAACAAGTTCACTTAATTCCCTCAGATGTTATTCCTTTCTCCAAGGTTGTTACTCAACTTTTTTTAACTGCTTAAATCCATAGGATGCCTCCTTTTCTCTTTCTTTTTTTTTTCTTCTTTTTTTGAGAGAGAGAGAGAGAAAAGTAATACCCAACAAAAGTGGCCAATCTACGTGGACATTACAGATATAGTTTTTTTCAAATCAAATATAATATCTTCTGTGAAAAGTATGGCCTTGAAAACTTGATCAACACAAAAAATTTCACTAATTTTGGTTTGGTTAGAATGGTCATATAATTTAGTTCGGAAATACTCACTGCATTAAAAACTTATTTTTAATCCTTAAAATTCAAGTTAAATATATTTAAAGATATATATATGCCTCTTGTAAAAGTTGAAATAGAGTGCAAATTTGACACAGACACTGCTTTTTGCTCACTTGGCCAGTGATGCTAGCCAAACACCTAGAACTTCTCCACTAATCATACTCAAACCAACAGCAAAAAGAACATGCTTAAACGCTAAAACCCCGGATTTGATGGCTAATTTAAATCTTTATTTTTTGTCATAAATTGGGATTTTGATTGAAACTGCAATAGAACTTACCAAGAAATTTAAGTCAGCCTTTTCATGCCATCTCTAACCTCATAGCACTATACTTGTAAGACCACTTCTGGAAACATTTTTACAGTCTGCTATACGGTGTTCAAGTGAATGATGGTAAAAGACCAGTTTAGCACAGTATTGTGAGAGTTTTGAGGGAAAGATGTTTTAAGAATTAAAAGTCCTAACTCGATTATATAATTCCTAACTCAAATATATAATCATAAAAATTTTAACTAATTGTTTTATCTTAACTAATATAAGTGAAAATTTTGCTGTTTTTGATCAAAATTATGAACAAAGAGCTAGAGACAGGCGACTTTGGAGAAAAATTGTTAGTGAGGCCATGGTCCAACATGGACTGCAATGCCAGGGAGTTACTTAGATCAAAATTCTGAGACTATACTTCTCAAAGAAGATATTTTTTGATTTAGAAAAAAATTTATATCAATAACGTCCACGTTGATTGGTCACTTTTTCTTGGTATTACATCTTGCTCTGAAAAAAAGTTGAATAACAAGGTACCCTAATGCTTAGTAAAAAATTACAGCATTGATTTGGTTATTTTTTTTAAAAAAACTTTCTTTCAGATTTAAAAGAGAACATGGTCTTTCAAAAGAAATATATTTAAAAGGAGTAAAAGACGAGTAATCAAGAATAGTTAAGATAAAGTTAAAAAATAAGAGGTTTAAAATGTCATACAAAAGTGATTTATTCTGTATCAAGTTACAGCAAATTCACTAATTAAATCAACAGGAAGTGATAGTATTAAGCTTGCACACAGGTGTAAGACATGCATATCGGAACTTAAAATTTTCTGCAATTAAAATAGGTAAATAAAACCATACAAATAAATATAAAATCAACAAACAATTAAACTGAGCTATTAACGGTAGTTATTATTTTGTGATAAGAAATACATGGTCAGAGTCTTATAACTCTTTTCCTCTCATTTAAAAAGATTTCAATACATTCTGATAAAGTTTGCGGACTTTGTATCTTGAATAGAATAAGGGTTCTAATATTTTTTCAAACAAATATTAGAATTGGCAGCTGTTTCAAAAGAAATTTGGGATGTCTAAATAAAATAAATAATTCAAAAGTAAATTGTTCTTACAGGGGAATTATATAACCAAGTTAATTAATCATTCGTATCAATGATAGGGTATGATTTAAATCAGCAGAGAGAAATTTTCTTATAAAGAGTAATATTGGTAACTTTTAAAGCAAATGATTAAGAAAGTCATTAGTAAAAGTTGAACAGCAGTAAAATAAATGTTAAGAAACTAAATTGTAAATGTTATTCTTTGACAAACGCACAATACTGAAAAACTTGAAAAAAATATTAAACATAAATGTGATTTAAATAATTGGAAACTATGAAATAATTAACTTATAAAAATTAATGACTTTTAAGAAAATAAAGTGGTCAAAAAAAATTAGAGAAAAAGAAATGTAATTGAAATAAATAGTACAAACTTTCTATTATTAAGAACAATTTAACAATGATAGAACTTTAAAAATATATATATATAAGAAATATATTGTTCGTTCAAACTGAAAATTATGGAATAATTAATTTAAGAAAAGCATATAAGCAATTAAAATATTGATATTAATAAAAAAATGAATTTCATAAAGATTAGAAAAATTCAAAGAACAAAAAACTTAAAGTTTAAATTTGTATAAATAATTCTTTGATCAAATTCCATGATAGCATGCTGAATAAACTGAAGGAGATGAAATATAAATTCATTTAAAAGTATTTGTATTTATGAAATACGCATAAGAAATTCTCAATTTCAATTTGAATTCTCAATTTCAATTCTCAATTTCAATTTGAAATGGATAATGAAATTAAAGATGATAATAATAATGCTTTACATTGTACAACAACAGGGTAAAAAAATCAATGTGAATAAATAAATACTGTAAATAAGAGCCCTGGTTATATGAATGAGTAAGCTTTTATAATTACAATTATATAAATTATATGCAAATCATTAAAAACAATGGTTCACTGAACCTTTTAGGACTTAAAAAAAAGAGGAAGGGTAAAAAGTCAGCATGATTTTATGATTACAATTATTAATTTCCAAATTCAAAAAATTTAATCAACAAGCTACACATTAAACAAGAAATAGACTTATAACATATTTTCTTTAAACTAATAATAATATACATTTTAAAAAATTCTGTTAAACTGTTCTGTTAATTAAGTTTGTAAATTTCTGTTAAGTATACAAACAAAAAACTTTTAGACATAAAATTTCCTTTTACTGTCATAGTTTATTAATGTTTATACACACACATTTTAGCCATTTAAAATATTTCTTTAACACTATCTTAAGCTTGCAATAAAGTTCCTTTTCACAAGTTTAATGGGGGCTATGAATATGATCATTCAAATATTACATATTTTATTAAATAATATTAAGTTCAGCTGTGTCATCCCTGACTAATAATGATAAGATATTATAGCTGCTATAATCAAAAATAGTTTATTATACCTGCATCTTTTTAATTCAAATCAAAACTATAAACAATATTAGCACATGAGACTATTTTTTAATAAATTTATTTATTATTTTATTTTTAATTAAAATGTTTCCTGAAAGAAACAAAATCAAAAAATTCAGCAAATTGTATTTCCCATTTTTTCAAACAGAAAGTATAAAAATAATTAAATGATAGCACAAATAAAATTTTCAAAAATGCAGATAAAATTAACACTTACAAAAAAAAAAATTGTAATCAGTAAATTTAAAATATACTCACTTTTATACTAAGAACATAAAAGGAAACTAGACTGTAATCTTCTACAAGTCCCATTAAAGCTTCATTCAATTTTTTATACCTTGCCAAAAATGGATCATCCTGTTCAAAATTTATAACTATTAAATATATATTAATAAAAATCATTTTAAGTTATTTTTATAAGAAATCTGAAGTACAGCTTTTCAAAAATAACAATTTATAATAAATTTATTTTGATACAAAATAAGATATTGTTGATATCTATCTAAATATCATATAATTACATAAACAGAAAAAGGGATCCATAACGTTGATATGCATCAATGATCACAACTTCAACAAATTATTTTATTAGTTTTTAAAAAAAATTAAATTATAAATCAAAGCAAGAAACTAAAAATCAAAATGATTTAATCAAAAATAACACAAAGCAATTTGGCTGCAATTCTTACAACAAATCAGATAAAGGAGACACATGTTAAATGAATTGTTTCAATATAACTTGTTGCATTATGATAAACTAAGATATAATGTAGACAACATAAATAAAATACAATAGGCACAAAATTTTCTAAATAATAAAATAAAGAGAAACCACTTTTTTTAAATTGTTAGTGAGTTGGTTTTTGATGAATAACATATTTTCCTCTTCAGAAAAAAAAAAATTTTTGATGAATAGAAATTCCTCGTAGGAAATAAGATGTTTTTGGTGAATAACACTATGATTTCACTGATGTAAATAAAGTGTTTTTGGTGTAAAACGCTGTGATTTTCCCATAGCAAATAAGATGATTTTATTGAATAATACTGTAATTTTTTCATAGGAAATAAAATGTTTTTGGTGAATAACATCCTCATTTTCCTTAGAACATAAAATGTTTCAGTGCATTTTAATATTATAATATTTAAGTTCTGAAAACTGTAATAAAAACAATCGCAAAATAATATTTTAGAGTAGTTGGATCATAGCAAACGAAATCATGCCAAAGATTAATTTTATTTATAGAGAATATAATATGATTCACAAACAGAAATTTTTAAAATAAAATTTCAAGTTTAGCATAATAATCACATGAAAAAATGTAAAAGATATGACTGAAGATAGTTCACATATTGAGAAATCAGACATTTTTAAAGGGTTTAATTAAAGAATGGAGAGAAAAAATTAAGATAACTACACATTTAATAAATAAGTTCATCCAATTATGAAAATCTGCAATAAAAAAATCCACAATAACAAAAATCTACAACTCTTGCTTAGAATTTAAACTAACACTTAGTAGTTAAATTTTCAAGAAATGCTCTAATGGTTTAAAATTTAGTTTTACAACAAAAAATATAAAATTAGTTATTTTTAAAAATTATTTCTTTTAATAAATAATAAAAACTGGATTTATAATGTTTGCGTTCTTGCATTAAAAAAAAATCACACATTATGACAGTGAAAAGGATAATTTCATTTATTTAACATTTTTACATTTATTTTATAAGCATTTAATAATTACTTATAAAATAAATGTAGTTGCTTCATTTCATATGCATTATATTATTATGCCTTTAGGTAGTAAATTTTAAAAATTATTTATTTATTTTTTTAAAAAAGTGAAAATGTGATTAAATGAATTATTTAAAATTCACAAATTCTAAAATACGCAAAGATTCTGATCCTAAGCTGAGTGATGTTTCAGAAAATCTAACCAATTTGATTCAAAATTATTCTTAATTTTAATTGTTAATTAATTTGTTATTTTTTATTTAATTTTTTATTAGAAAGTAAGCAGTACAAAATTTTTATGTATACTTCCTAAAATAGTGGTCACTATCTTTCGAAATATGCCAACAGTTTTGACACAAAATGTTTATGACATCTGCAAAGAAAAAGACTATTCTGTTACTCGAGAATAACTTTCTACAATTTTTTTTTTTTAATATTATGGAGATGTAAGTTCAAAATCAAGTACATGAATGTTACTGAAAGGAACACTTATAACAGAAGAAAATAACACCAATTTAATGAATAATAATTTAGACAGTTCAAAACATCTTATGTCAAGGTTTTGTTTCCTATATTACGAATTATAGGCTACTTAAGAAAAATAAAACTATTTATTAAAAATTGTGCGGCACATTTAAAAAAATAACACAAATAAACATTAAAAATATATATATATATACTATTGATAGTTCATTGACTACATTTAAACATCCACCACATCTGAATAATAAATTAGATAAAAAAAATGATACACATCAAAATATTTGATATTGTAACTCCTATTATCATATAAAATAAGGAAATTATGAAGTAGCTTATTTAATATTCAGGCAAATTTTTTTTTACAGCAAAAAATAACAAAAAGAAATATTACCGATAATAAACTAACTATTTCCTGAAGGTCCAACACATCTGTATAATAACTAAGATCAAAATGTAACTTTCCATGCTTCTCAATTAGATCAGCTTTAGACAAGACATTAATATGAGGAGTTCCCACTGAAATACAATCAATCAAACATTAATAAAAGAATTACTGAAATAATTAATGAAAAATTTGCTATTTTAATATCCTTAAAATGTAAAAAGTTTGCGTGTGTTGTGCAACAAATATATATATAAAGTAAGAAACTAATTATTTTCCATTATTTCTGATATTGTCTCAGGTTTCCAAAAAAAAAAAAATTTTTTTTAATTAGGAAAAAGTTAAATCCATTAGCTTCCATTATTCTGATATAACAAAAGGGTTAACATTACATAAAAAATTTGTATGTTTTGTACTCCCAATTTATCAAACACCAGAAAGTCTTCAGTTTTCACTACATCTGATATTATTTCATGCTTTGCAAAATTATTTTGTTTGTTAAATTCAGAAAATAGTTAGATCTTTCAGTTTGCATTATTCTGATATTTTCTCATGCTTCTCAAATTACTTTGTTAAATTCAAGAAAAGGTCAAAACCTTTCATTTCTGTTATTCTGATATTATTTCACGCTTCCTAAATTATTTTGTTAAACTCAGGAAAAGGTTGAATTCTTTAATTTCCATTATTGTGATATTATTTCATGATTTGAGAAATTATTTCATTTATTAAATTCAGAAAAAAGTGAAATAATTTAGTTTCCATTATTTTAATATTATTTCATGTTTGTGCTTTCCATATTATTTTGTTTAATTCAGAAAAGGATGAAATAAAGGTCTTTAATTTCTATTATTGTGAAATTATTTAATGCTTTCAAAACTATTCCTTTTGTTACATTTAGCAAAAAATGAAAAAATTGGTTGCTAATAGAGTACACTTTAAAGCATTATAAGAATTGTATCAAATAAAAGACTCTTACTACTTAAATCTAGACTCTTGGTCAATATGGGATCGTCATAAGTGAATCTTATATTTAAAACCAACATATTCAAAATAAATTTCATTAAGAAATTCTAAATTCGATACACTTTTATATTAAAAATCTTGATGAACTTACTTTTCAACATTGTAGCAAGAGATGTCAACAAAATTGCAACAAATTTGGAAGGATCGCAGCAATAATGAGAATCAACTAAATGCACAGAACAGAGTTGGAAACCAGATTTTGTTAATGCAGATACAATATTTTGTACAGAATCATGATGAGTGTACAGCTCCACCTGTACAAAATGAAATTAATTATTGTTGAAGATAATTTAGCTTTCAATTGAAAAATTAAACATAATATCTGACATTCGGGAATTTAAGCTTTCATAATAAATTTACAGAAAATATAATATTTTATTTAGTTATAATTTAACTAGGGGTTGATGTGGCAAGAATAAAGATACCAGCATTTTAATGTTCAGAACAATGCAAAACTTATATTTATAGTAGGGCAACATACAGCAAACAGGCTGTCAATATTACTTAACCTTTTCGAGGCGGACGAGTCATACATGCATAATCAGAGTAAAAAAGATAAAACTGGTAGCCAAACTACTTTTACAGCAGTTTATTTGTGGGCAGGGAAATGATAGTTTGCGTTATTTAATTAACCACTACTTAGTTCGTAAGAAAAATTGTATAGTTACACTTTTAACACACAAGAATTGGATGTGTTAGATTTAAAGTGAAAGCAAAAATAAGTCTGTCAAATTAGCCATGCCTAAACTTAAGCTATCGCTTTTAACTTTTTAACATTTTGATACTGATTCCTTACTAATACATTTATGACTCGCACGTTCCAAAAGGGTTAAAACTGCATGTACAGTGAGTACACTCTGCATAAATGATGATATCTGGGTTGTGGATTATTTAAAAAGGCCCAAAATAAAAAGGAAATTTGAAATAGAGAAATGTGCAGGAAGACCATATTCTTCATCAAAGATTGTATGAAAACTGACTAGAATTGATTATTTTCCATCTACGTTAAAATTATTGTCCAATTATATAGTAACTTGACATATCTGTAAAATTTTTAAAATTTTTCATCAACATTTGCATATATTTAATTACCTGCGCGATTCACTCATAGAAAGACATGCCTTTCCTGAGCATTCTTCTAAATCAAGAGTCAACTTCTTATTAATTGCAGGCAAGATCTTATTCGAGCCTAAAGATAAGTTTTGCGAGAACACGGTTGACTATGCATCATGATAAAGCATTTGTTCAGCAGCTTTATGACAATTAATAATTTGATTGACATACAGATTAACATACAGATTACCGCTTAATTGACATACAGATGGTAAAAACAAAACTTATAACAATTTTAAGTTGGATAATTGCTTTATGCACAGACTATTACCTGACCAGATGATACATAACTTATGTAATGTTCTGAAATACAACATTAAATTCAAACAGTGAGAGAAATACAATTGAAAACTAGTATAGACAATTGAATAATAGATAAGACAATGTTAGTTACATAAAAAATGGAGATTTTCATGATAATAATAAGCATGATATTGGTTGAAGTTGCAATTTTTTATAGAAATGTGAAAATTTATCATGGAATTTACAGTTTATGCATTCTACACAGTGTAAAATAAAATCCAGTGAAACCTCCAGGAAAAACCACCTCTATGTAGCAACCTATTTACGAACACTTTTGGAAAGCATGGAACTTTTTCCTTAGACATTATGTTGACGAAAACCTTTAAGACAGACCATCAAAATATCTATGAGCAACCAGGCAAAACCTCTGCACCAAATGCAGAAATAGTCAAATAAAGAGATACAAAAAATATAAATTAGTTGCATTCAGTTTACAGCCTCATGTTGCAGTCGTTGTTTAATTATTTAAAACAGCTCTATCATTCATGATTTGGAAATTTGTTTTTACACAGAATTAAATCAGTAGGGAAAATTTCTATTGTCGCTAAATTTTATTCATTGATTCGGTTTTCATGAGGCCAAAACAATTGGCATTTCTGTATGAAGAAAATAACACTAACTAAAATTAAAATCACTTGTGAAAAATCATGCACCTTTAGCATTTTAAAGTAACCTCTAAGAGCAATCAACCTCCATTAACGACCATTTTACTGTGAAACAGAGAATGGTTGCTCCCGAGAGATTTCACTGCACTAAAAAAATCTGTTGAGAATAAAATCTATTACGTAACTAAAAAAACTACAGGTTATCAACATAATTAAGTTCAAATCTTAAAAAATGATCTTATAATGAAGTGTAAAGCATATTTTACTTCTACCAAATACTTTTTTTAATTAATACTTTACAACAAGGCATGCAATTTTAATTCTAAAAGTACAAGCCAGATAAAAATTATTGCTCACCACCATTTCTTAAAAAAATATATAAATATTTTTAAAAATTCTCCTAATTTTATTAAAAACGTTTTGGACACATTTATTACAACACATTTATTACAATGTAATAAATAATATTATCCTAAAATAATGTTCCCGTAAGGTCTCAATAGTTTCAATATCATTTATATATTATAAAATGCAATTAAAGTAAGAAAAATATCAGAAAATTAAAATTTCAGAAATACCATCTGACAATTGCAGTCCTAGTGCATTAATATTTAGTAATAGCAGTTGCTAGGTCAAAGTATTCGTCAAAGAGTTTGACCTAGCACTAAACTCTCTATTATTCTTGAGTCAAACTCTGTTACTTATTTTATCTGTTACTTATTAAATATTTACGCGTCAATAGAGTAGAAATTTTGTGCTCTGATGTACAATAATAAAACCAATGACATTTTATTATTTATAATGTATTCTAAATTTCAAGTAATATCACAACTCAAAATGATGTTTCACATTATTTCCCTAACACACAACATAAAAATAATATAAATTTTATTAGGCTCTTTTCCATTTTGTACACACAAGCGATACTTCATGCTTTGCAAGTCACCACATTCATTTTAAAAATAAATAAAAAAATTCTTCCTTGAAGGAAATGAACTTTTATAAAGAGGGCAGTTGGTTATGGCGTCACTCACACCCAATAACACCCCAGGACTCACACCACTGGTTGATGAGCTGGAAGTAGTGAGTTTGATCCTGCCAACCGGCATGTTTACGCAGTAAGGTGCACATTATGTTTATTATGGCTAAAAGTCCTCTCGGTGGTTGTGGTGTGGAAGTTTGAAGAGAGGGGTTCATGTCTACTGTCCACGTTGTCTGCCTAGNAATGAATCAAATATGACGTTTGCCAGTTCCACAATCAAGCTAATGATTTACAGAGGTGTCTGCACAAAAATCTGAAAGGGGATTTCCATTTAAGTAGATGTTCATAATTGCGTTTAACGCTTCCTGTTTAAAACCAGTACGTAATGTTTTTGGGTTTTTTTTTAAAGTTCATTGCTGAAATGTCCCTTTCAACCGCTGCAGTTCGGGAGACAGAGAAAACATCAATTCCACCATGCGCAGCATGTTGCTGTATTTCTAGATTAGAGGGTCATTTTAGAAGTGAGGCGCTAGACTCTTGTAAGATAAAAAAAAATTGAAAATGTATCACCAACATTAACGGGAAAATGGCCGTCCACGAGGACGTCGGATTCGAGAAATTCGTTGTCCGCGGGGAGTTTTTGACCGCCGAGGACGGGCGGACGGGTGGTTTTTCAAGCCCTGCTTTAAAATAAAAAATTTAAAAAAATAAATAAATAAATTAAATAACTGAATTTACCAGAGCCAGCAATATGGAAAAGTAGCTTTAATTTGTATACATTACAGCTATGCAGGAGGTACTAACATTCAAAATTAGCTATCAGGTATCAAAAGTAATGTTAACAAAAATCCAATTAGAGCAATTTCAAGTTGTTTTTACAACTTAATTCTACATAGAAATATATCTCATAATGAAAATGGGTAAATTATTAGCTATTTTCTATGTTAATTATAGCTTAATGGTTATATTAATTAAAATAGCTAAATTAAATAGGAATTAAATAAAAAAAACTATTATAAAAAGTAACACTTAAGCATTACTTTTTCAAATATTCACTGCAAGCAACAAAATTTCGTAACTCTTGGTAATTATGGAAATTAACTTATTTTCAACAGATCATTACAAAAATTTACTAAATAAATAAATCCAAAAAATATTCTTTTTACCTGACCAGGGCAATCAATAAGAAAATAGCAATCACTGAACTTCTTGAGTTCTTCTAAGAGCCAATCTACTTTCTTTTCAAGATATTCCATACAAAATATCAATCCACCATTAGGACCTAGTTTACTAAGCTCCATCACATTATCAACAGTAATCAAATGAGATACATCAATACTTGCTTCATAGGGCAAAACATCATTTCCAGGATCTAGATTTACAATTGCAACTCTCCTTCCAATTCCTTTCAAAAACTCACTCATAGCATGGCAATAGGTTGTTTTACCAGAACCAGGAGGCCCTATCACCAGTTGTCCATATAACACTGCAAAATTTTATATTAAAAGTTGTCAGCACATTTCTATACAGTGTTTAATCATTCTACAATATTCTTAATAATACATGAAATACATACAGTGTTTGTTCTCCCTTTGCATTTTTAGAAGGGCAGTCCACCCTGCCTGCCAATTTGTTGCGCCCTCTTTGACCTTTTCGTAAAAATAAGCCACCATCCCTTAAAAACACTGCCTTTTTATTTAGATTCCAATTTTAAAAAAATTAATTCATTTTTTAAATAATTTCACACTAGTAAATTCATGGAATTAATTCTGATTACTTTTGTCAGGATTATTCTCAACTGGTTAAATTTTTATACGTTCCTATTTTTTTAGGAGGTATATTGAGGAATTATTTAAGTGATTTTAAATTTTAAAATTATTTTTTAATACTTTTTTTTAAAAAAAAGGCATCTTTAAATAGTTATTTTCTCACAATTTTCAGTTTAAATTATAGAGAAAAGCTCTCAAGTTGTTTATCATTAATCATTTCTTCTTTAGTTCACTTTTAAAAAAAATTTTAAAAAATTGAGCTGTTTTTTTTTTTTTGTTGTTGTTTTTTTTTTTTTTTAAGTATGCCTTTAATTATTTTTTTGTAAACTACAAATTTTTCTCTTATTTTTATAATGAGTGAAACTTTTTGAAATGCACACATAAAATAGTATAAAAGAGTAATTTAAAAATTGTTGAGGATCAAATTCAGAGTTATTATATAATATTACACATCTTGACAAATTATTACGTTGTGAAGTGAATGCCCTTTCAAAACTCAAAACCCCTTTTTCTTTGTGAAAGTGCCCTGCCCTTTTTTATTCCTAGGGAGAACTTTGGTACATGACAGATTATGAGAAGAATTCTTAATCAATGAATTTGCTGTAAAATAAATTGTTGAACTTTATATCTAAATCTATAATTTAGAAAAAAAAAAAAACTGATATAACAAAATAATCAAAATTCTCTATGCATTTTCAATATCAGGGGTCTGTCTAGGTTTTTCTGAAAGGTACCTATTTTGTGAAAATTTAGACATAATTTGTNACTTTATCCGGGAATTCACTATAAACCGTGTTCACTATAGCGAGGTTTGACTGTATTACAAATCTTGACAAATTTTTAAGATGTGAAGTGAATGCCCTTCCAAACTCAGTGTTTTATTTCCTTGTAAAAGTGCCCTGCCCTTTTTTATTCCTAGGGAGAACTTTGGTATATAACAGATTATGAGAAGAATTCTTAATCAATGAATTTGCTGTAAAATAAATTGTTGAACTTTATATCCAAATCTATAATTTAAATAAAAAATAAACTGATATAACAAAATAATCAAAATTCTCTATGCATTTTCAATATGGATAATAGAAAAAATCTCCTTCAGTCACAAATATTTCCTAATGATCCTGGATAATTTTTTTTAGTCACCAAAAAAAGACATCCCTAAATTTTTGAAAAATTTGAAAATTTCTTCTTAAACTTAAATTTTTAAAGATTTTTCTTGAATAGTTTAATAAAATATTCTTAATAAAAGAAGTTCCCTGAATCATACATTTTAAAAAAAAGACATTTAGAGATGTATGTGTAGATAATAACACCTGCCAATAAGAGAAGAAACAATTTGCTAATTTAATGAATACAAAAGAAACTGATAATTATAAAGAATTAGATTGACGTCAATAGTGTAATAGTATTAGATTATTGGGAAGATTTAGAATTATTAACAGATTACGAATACAACAAAAAGGAAAATGACAAAAAAGAAGAATTTGAGTATTTGTAAAATCAAAAGAAAAAACAAAGATTTTAACAATTGAAGCATACATATATTATGCAACTTATTTTTGACATCTCAAAATTTGTAGTGTTTCTTTTCGAGTTCATGATATTGAGGTTTGACTGTAGTATTTAGGACTAAACGATACATTGATGCATCGGAAAACAACGATTCTATGCAATCATTGCTGATTCAATGTTTAGATTGGCAATTTTTTTAATCATCGCAAATCGGTATTTACTGAGTTATGCACGATATTTCCCGATGTATCATTCGTATTGGTGTCTATACAAGCGATGTTGAGCATTGTTTCCGATAGTTCATCGATGTCTGCAAGCTCCAGGGAAGAGCATTTTCTTCCGTAAGTTTGCAGTGATAGCTGTGGCAATAATCATCATCTTTCCTCATCTTTTTTACATCGTGAATCATCGTTTTGCTGACATAATGAATCCGACTTTGCTTGAGAATCAAAGCTTAGTTGAATCTCTTAGCTATGGAAGAGTTTTCTTTTGATTGTGTGAGCGCAAATCCTGTTCATATTTTCACAATCAATCCAGCCGTTTAGTGCTTTTAACCGTTATTTTGCAGATTACTTTAAACATTGAGAAATAATTATAAAAAATGCAAGATTTATTTAAAAAAGTGCAACTTACTGGTTGCAAATTTACGCAGTATTAAATATAAAACATTTATGTATCGATAAATTGCGATGCCAAAATCTTAACATTGCCCATTCCTGGTAGTAATATTTATATCAGTGGTAAACCTAAAGAGAAAGAAATGATAATATAAAAATTTTACTTCATTTGTAAATAATTATGGATTGTTCATCATGTAAATCTAATAAAAGTTGAAAAAAATACATAGGCTTTTGAGTTACTTCCAATTTATTTTCATGCTTAAGACTAGAATTAATGTCAATGTCCTACTTTTCAAGAATTGTTCAATTTATTTAGAAAGATTAGAATTCCTTTAAAGTTCATTTTTCAGATGATTTTCCTAATAGTTAGAAAAAAATGTAAAATATTCTCATGAAAAAATAACAATACAAAAGATAGAACTCTTCATTTCATTTATTGTCAATGCTTCCTAGATTAAACTAAAAAAATTTTTAAGTTTATAATTTGTTCATATATTTTAGTTAAGTTTATAATTTGATATTTTTAGTTCATTATTTCAAAATCTAATTAAATATTTATATAAAACTTTTAAAAAATTATATCATTGGGCAAAAACTGCAGTTCTAAACTTAATTTCAAAATTTCTAGAAATATTGAAAATCTTTATGCTTCCCCATTAAAACAAAATCTACAGAAGAATGTTTCAGAAGTTTACAAAAAAATTTTTCTGCTTATGTTAGGTTTTTCTGCTTAGGCTGCATACTTAAGTCTGTTCATATATCTAGGAAGTGCTCAATCCCTCTCAAGTAATACAATTTACTATTATAGACAGCAACATACCAGATCACTTTCATACAATCTAGTTCAATGCAGTTCTTGCAAAATCGATTATATCTACAGTAAAAACCTGTGAATCTCTATCATGGGCGTGCCGGCACACAATTTTCGAGAGAGAAAAAATTAAAATACACAGTAAAAACAGGTTTAAAATTTCACATTTGAAAATTAAATTTTTAAAAAAAATTATTCTTTTACAAAATATTACTGATTTATGACTTTTTAATGATGATTTAAGTATTTATGATTAGGATGATTATTCCTAATCCACACTAATAATTAAATTCGGCTTAAAACTATATCACACTTAAAGCATTTTAGCCAAATTATGTTACGTACCAGGGGTCTGTCCAGGCCGAATTTACTACCGTTTAGCGGTACCTTCACAAATTCAACTTTAGGAAAAACGGTAGTTTCACAAATTCAATTTTAGGAGAAACGGTAGTTTCACAAAATACTTTTTCTTAAAATTTTATTTTTGTATCCCTTAAGAAACCATAAGTCCATATTTTTGTGTTGATTTTTTTAACATAATTTTTAATTTTTCACAAATGATATCTAAATTTTCACAAAATAGGTACCTCTCAGAAAACCCTAGACAGACCCCTGCGTACATAAATTTTTTGAAAAACTGTCATTGAAACGCACTTTATATTGCTTGCATACATCATGAAATAGTTTTAAAAAATACCAAACTATGAACAAACAGTAGCAAATTGTGTGAGTTGTAGTTTAATATTCCCTAACAGTGCAATTTTTAAGTAAAATTATTAATTTAGCTCTATAATTCGGTGACAATTTAATTTCCAAAAAAATAACATAAAAACTAACTTATTGCATGAATGCCAAAAGTTTTAAAGATATGGGAGAAAAATAAAGGCAAAAAAAGGTTTTTGAGATAAATATTTGCATAAAATGTTACATACTTTTAACGAATTACTTCAACATTAACTATGAAAATATAACTCTCTTTATTACAGCGAGTCTTTATTACATCAAAATTAGGATACAAAAAAACATCAACATCAAAAACAAAATTGAGGGATGGAACTCTACGCTTTAACCTAACTCTCTAGAATTAAAAATAAATGATTCCAAAAAATAGTGTCTTAACAACCGTTGCTAAGATATTTGTGGTACTGGTAACCCATAAAAAAATCACATCACGCGCCATAGCGAAAAGGAAATTGCCAAGTCTTTTTTCAGCAAAAAAGAGCTAATTCTCCTAGTAAAAATACTTTATATCTCATTATTAAAATGATTTTAACTAATGTACTTGAAAAGTTTAAAGCAAGCCAATTTTTTTTACATGTGGGTTACCAGTTCAAGAATCGTAGGAATGCTATTCTTCTCTAATCCAGGCCGAGGTGTAAGTCTGATAAACAGCTGCGTAGGGACTGGCTGCGTAGGGACTAAGGAGGTACCGAAGCTTTAACAACATTAACAGCTTTTTCTCCCTTACTCGTTAGAAAAAAAAGTTAAAATGCATTTATTTTCCTAAAATAAATTGTTGAAATATGTCTGATATACTGCAAAAACATAACCCAGCAAACTGTGTAGCAATGAGGAATTCTTTAACTTCTCTCTTTTTATCAATACTCATGACATCCTGCCCTGATAACGGTCACTCGTAAATACAGTGACCTATTGACTTACTTTTAACGTATCTTCAAGAAAATCCTTTGGTAGCAGGAGAACGCCGACTTGCCTTTAGTAATTTCAGCTCCCACAATGCTCTAAAAAAATATTTATTTTCTTGTTAAAGTTAGTGCTTTTTCTGCAAAAAGATGGAAAGTTGCAAATTTGTTTCAACATTGGCCTATTCACAAAAAAAAACATTGATACAAAATTTCGGAAAAAAATAAATAAGCGAAAGGTGGCTTCTGATTTGTGAGAAATGTTAGAAGAAGGAAATAGCATACTCTCCTAGAATTTCGTGCGGCTTAGTGCTTTTAAGGAAAGTATATTCCTCTGAAAGTTTTATTAGTTTTTCAAATTCTAAAAGAATGTCAGTTAATGCAGGTTCAAGTTACTCTTTGCTTTATACTAAAAGCTGGTTACAAAATTTCTTACTTTCCTTCAGTTGAATAATGATTCTATAAATTTTCTTTTTCAAAATGTAATATTAATTTAAATGTTTTATAATGATTTTGTTTTCTGTCAATTTTATGAATCTATGATTTGTCTAGAATGCTTCAATTTTAGTTTTAAAAAAATTTCAAAAACAGAAAAACTGTTTTCTCTTTAATTAATATAAAATAATGGGAATTTGCTTGATTAGTATTGATATTTTTTCTTTCTAAAATCAGTTATAAATCTTGGTTCTTTTTTTCCTCCATTCTATTGCGTTTTCTATTATTTATTTATTTATTTTGTTCATTTTATTAAGTTTATTTATTTATTTTAATTATTTACTTCATCTAATTTATTCGCGCTCGACTTCACGTGAAAGGTCGTCGGGCTACCAAAGCGGGGGTGCCATCCCGTCTGCAGAAGATCAAAATTGTGATGGCATGTCTTCGGATCATCCTCAGGGATGTTTCCCAGACCGTCGCCAATAGCCCATTGTGCAGCTACAGTCACTCGAATTCGAGTGACTGTATAGTGCGACGTAAATGAACAACAACGACAACATTTAATTTATTCATTTATTTATTTATTTATATATTTAATTTATTTATTTATAATTTTTCTGGTGCTTTAAAATATTTCTTATTTAAATTAAAATCATTAGTAAGCTTTTCTTTAAGTTTATCCACGAGTTGAAGCAGACTTAAAATTTTTTTTATATTTTGCCATTTCATTGATTTAATTTCGATCAGATTTCGAAATTTTACGTGTTTCTACATTGTTGTCACTTAGTTTTCCTTATTTGCAATTTTCTCAATATTAAACTTTCAATTATGTTAAATTGGAACAAAACGGAAAATTATAACGTTGCTCCTAATCTCTCTTCTCGATAAATTATTACCCTAAATGCAGGATAATTTTTTTTTAAAAAAATAAAAGTTCAAAATATTACTCTTTCATTTTTTTATATTTTAAATCTCCGGGTTATATTTATATTTTACTTAGTTTATTGCGCATTATTCCTCATTTTCTTCAAATAGCAATAATTTAAGAATGTCTTAAATATTAACAAATTAAGAATTGCATCACTGTATTAAGCTTTTTTTTCCTAATGTCTGATAAAAATTTTGAGAAGCGTTTATCTAAAAAAATCGCTATAAGAGCGTTAGCCAATTGTTTTTTAAGCAATAAATTTACGTACATGTTTAATTAAGAAGTTTTAATGACTAATTTTCCCTTCTTATTTTTTCTTCTTTTTTTTTGTTAAGATAATAATGTCGTTTTTGCTACATTAAATTGCAAAATATATTTTAACAAGTTTTTTGTTTTAATCAGTGAGGTAAATATCCTCGTTATCAGTAGCCTTTAGCTGTATAGCCTGCAAAGTTTTAGTGCCAGACTCATAAAAATCAATTGTATTATTGAGTAAAATATCATAAGCAGGCATTTTGGAAATGTCATAGTGATCAAAATATATGAATATATGATGGTGTAAGGACCGGCAATGATGATGGATCCTACCTTATTCCTTAAATTTTACATGACCACACTGTGCAAAACAATCCCTGGAAAATAAATAATAAACAGGGTTAGGGAAAAAAATCCAGGAGAATTATTCTAAGGTGAATGGAATAAGAAACGTATTAATATTAATATTTATAGTACAGATGATATTGTAATAGAATTAAATAGCCCACGAATTATTTCGGTTCACAAAATGAAACCTACATTTATTTTTAAAAATTCAAATTAACTGCATGCTATATCTATTTCTAACACAATTTTTTTTTATGATTTTAACTGCTGCTGTGAAATGGGGAAATTTCTTAAAATCCCTGACTTGGAACTTACATTTTAAAAACCTCGGACTCAATCCCATCACTGAATTTAAATTATTATGTATTTCTCAATTGACAGATGAGTATGTTAATTCAGAGAAATTACGTTTTGTTGTCTAATTCTATATTTTAATTAACAGTTAGTCCTAATTTAATAGCATATCTAAAGTCACCCCTTTCATCCATTATGATCGGCACTTGGTTCCTGAAAATCCGTTCATTCGAACAATAGTTATACAGATTTTTATAATTTTTTTTTTTTTTTTTTTTTGCACACTATACGATTGTGCTGTTTGCACAACTCTGAAAATAAACATTAGGAAAGTAGTTGACATATTTAAATGCAATTCACTTGCAAATATCGGTACTCAAAAATCAAATTGACCAAGCCAAAGTGGAATGGGTAACAAAATGAACAAAATTCAAAAGTAGTAATTTGAAAATCGAGTTAGTTAAATTAATAGTGAAAGAGCAGATAATTTTTGAAAATTGTAAATCTGGTAGGGTAGACTAGTATCAGGTTATGAATCTAGATAGGTTATGCAAATAGTTTTTGAGGCACCATAAATTAAAATATAAGTTCTGATATATTCGCAATTTTATATCTGTTGCAATGAGTTAGATACATTTCCTAAGCTTGTCTCACTTACCTTAATCATTTTGCACTATTTTCTTTTCTTCCTCCGTATTATTATTTCAGTCCTTCCTTCCTTCCTCAATGGCACGACAGCCCCTGGCTTTCTCAATCAACTTCCTCCAGGCCTGCCTTCGCCTGGCAGTTGTCTTCCAGTTTGAGACTTTTAAGACTGAAAAGTCTCTTTCCACGCAGTCGGCCCATCTCAGCTTTGGTCGACCTCTGGGCCTTGATCCGATGGGCTGAGCCAAAAAGATTATGTTTGTCGAACGCTCTCTGTTCATTCGAATGATGTGATCAGCCCATTTTATTTCAGTCCAGTTATTATTATTTTATACATAGTATTCATTCATCTTAAGTATGGCTTTTGAAAAGTATTAATTTTCATTCATTGTTTGCCCAGGTCCCTTTAATTAGGAAAAGTAGACTCCAAAGAAATCCGTGGAACACAATCCGGGAAGTCCGGTTCTAAATTATTAATTTTACAGAAAAATGTCACGTCTGCATTTGTAGGAAAGATAATTTCCTACAAATTTCATATAAATTAATTTATACGATGAAAATATTTTGTTGAAACTCGTGCGTTTTTGGTTTATTTCTATTTGTTTGTAAAAAAACTTATAAAAGCCATATAATTATTTTATTCATTTCCCTATACTTACCAAATTCAAAGCAACAATTTTATTTTCTAATTATTAGTACTTTTTGTCAGCATTTTTCGCTTAGAAAAAGGTCTTGATAAACTTTTATATAGGTATGCTCAGTGGCTGGAAAAACTAAATTTCATTTAAAGGTAACTACCTCAACTTCTTTACTAAAATTGTAGTTAACTACAATTGCAAATTACTTTTTTTTTAAATATACTAACTGTAAAATGCTTAAATGTAGTTATTACTCAACTACCTTAAAACGACAATTTTTTTCTAGAAGAAATACTCTTGCTCAAAATGGGTAAATTTTAATATTTTTAGAAAAAATTCGTTAAAAATAAATAGGTATATTTAAAAGCGAAAAAGTGTTACGAAATATCTACTCTTTTTTATATGCGCTACTTTATTATATTAGGCTATTTTTTAATGATTGGAGTATCCTTTCCTGTTTAAACAGCTTATGTCTGTCCTCCCTTTAAAGTAGAGTTAAAATACGATTATCATTAATACGTGGAAAAAAAACTTTTGTCTTCGAGCACTCCACATGATAAAATTAAGTTCCATAAAAAGTTTTATTATAGCTGCAACTGCTGAAAAACGCAGGTGAGTGGAGCTTCTTTCGAATTGGAATGCGTGAGTGTTAGCCTCCCATTCCCCAAAAAATAACAACAAAAAAATATGTTATGTATTGTAGAAATTTATTTAAAAGAGAAAGAGTATCTTCATTACAACTATTTACTAATGTAAATATAATTTTCCTTTATAGATTAATTATGGTAATCACATGCATACCTAAGTATATAGCTACAAACACAAATAAAGCATTTCTTGATTTGTATAAAAAAATACAATTAATCACGAAATCCTTTTTTCCAATAAAATTTAAATATTATCACCTCAGCAAAAAATTTTATTATTTAATATATTAATATTATCACACTTGTTTTTGCTTGTAAAATTCCCTTGCACGAGTAAACTCCGTAAAGCACGATCGTAATCATTAACCCCTTGGGGACGGCTGATTCATAAAAGCATTCGTACAAAATCAGAATGTAAATAAATATAAAACGGTAGCATAAATGTAGTCATTGCTAATTTGACAGACTTAAATTGCTTTGACTTTAATTATTGTTAGTTTAATCATATATATATACTCATTGTTAGTTCAAAGTATAACTAAATAATTTTATTTTGAACTAAGTAGTGGTGAATAAAATAAATCAAACAATTATAACCCCGCCCACAAATAAACTGTTAAAGAATTACTTTGATTACCAGTTTTATCTTTTTACCCTGGTTGATACTGTCTTATGCTGTCACGTATTTGTGACAGTCGGCGCGAAAGGGTTAAATGTAAAAAAAAAAAAAAAAGTAGATCAATGTTCCGCTCAGAAAAACAGGAGTATGTTGACGTTTTCATCAAATAACAATCAAACAATCAAGGCCTTAATAAAATGTCTTATTTAGCAATAGATAACATTCTATAAAACAAATAATCTAATCAATCATTTAATAACTATGACTTTTTCATTTTTCTTTGCAGAAAGCTAAGTCGTGTTCATCCAACTTTGTGTATTCAACCTCTCTGATATGAAGGTCATTAGATTAAAAAGAAAAAAAGATGCTTTTCACAAAATTTACCCTCTCTTCAGATAATTTTTCAATATAAAAAGAATTAAAATAATTTTTTTTAAAAATATGCTTTTTTAAAAAATATATTTTTTAAAATATTAAAAATAATAAAACAATTCTTTGTTTCCATTCAGTGAATGGTATGCACCTCTTATTTTCAAAACTCATATTAAAAAATTTACTCCATAAATGTTACTCGGCATCAATTGTTTAATTACAATAATTAAGTTCGTTATTAAATTAACGTTAAATTATACAATAATTTATTATAAAAATTATTATTACTGAGTAAAATAACAGATAACGTTGCATACATCCAGAAACAATAAATTAATAAATTTCCTCATGTCGTCTAATGAAATTTTTTAGTGTGAATTTCTTTTTTGTTATAATAAAAATATTCGAGGGTTACACAAAACAAATTTGATCCGGGAAATCTCGTTTCCAAGTGATATCTATCAAGCCAAATACAGTAACCCTGAAAGCTAATGAACGATGCTTACGATGACAAAAATATCCAATCAAACTCGTCCTTGCTGTTGTATAAGAAAGTAGTGAGAAAAAATGTTTCGAAAAAGAATAAAATGCTGTAAAAACCAATTCCTTAATTTTTAAAAATTTTCTTTTTTGAAGTATAGTTCTAATTTTTGCTCTCTTTTACTAAATAAATTTCGACTCCTTTTTATTATTTTTCATTAAATTAATATGTCATAACCGCGGAAACATCTCAACTCATACTTTTTAGGAAAAAGCTTGCCTTCGTCTTCAACGCGTTTTGCGTGCCATTATACATCTATAATATATATTTCATCAAATTTAAATAAAAGGTAAGTTTTATTGGAATATTTAATGTGTAATTGTTTCATTTATAAAGTTTTTACTTCACGTCCTCAATTCTAATCTAAGTTTTTAACAGATTTATGAATTTTTGACACGTGTTCCCGCATCGCAAATTAAACAGTATTTATCTTAATTTGCATGATTTAACAATTTTCTTTTGTATTTATCTATGTATTTTGATTCATTTCTTGGTTTTATGTTAATTACTTAGTCCTTGTTTTTATTTGGTAAGAAATATATTAATTCTAGTGTTGTCTATCCACCGTGCATTTTTGCTAATAACGTAGTAACTAGATAGATAACGCAAGTAACTAGATAGATTCATTTAACTTAATGATATATATTGTACTCTCAAGATTTATTAATATTTTTAAAGTTAATTTCAGAATTTAAAAATGCACTATTTGCACACTGTTAAGCCTGCCTTAACATGGTGTTTTATAGCTTAATGGTCATTCAACCATTTCGTAAAAAATCGCAGATTAATACTTGTTTTAAACTCAAGGGATTAAATACCAGATTTAGTTAAGTAGCATATAGATTTTAGTAGCTACTGAATGTACAAATTTATCAATTATCTACTGCAATAATGAAATATCAATTAATTTGCCATGTCTATTGATTTGTGGCCAGATAATTTGTCTTGCTTATTGTTTTCAATTAATGTATTGTTATCCATTTTGATCATATTTATATTTCTTTCAAAGATGAACCTTGTCAAAAGTCTTAAAAATGTTATGTCCTGATATTTTGTTCCTTTGAAGTTCCAATTAATGATTTCATAAGTTAATGATGTTTCATGGTTAAAACTACTGGGTTTTTGTATAGAAAGATTTTAAACGTAATGTGTTCTTGATAATATTAAAATATAACCTTTGAAGAATTTTGCCTTGAAAAGAAAAACTGTGTAGAAATTGATTTAGATTGCCTTTTAATGCAATGCATATTTATTTGTTATGTATAAAATAAGTAAATTAGGAAGAAGGTTTGACGAATTGCTTTATTTACAAATGTTTGTTTACTTAACATTACTTATATTGTCATTTCAAAAGTTTAACATTTTTAAAAAAATAATAATCTTTGATTTTTCCATAATAGCTTGTTTAACCTAGTTGCGGCATATATTTTGAACTTATCACAAGAATAGTTTTATTATGCCTCGATCAAAGTTGAAAAGCTTATAGTTATATTTCAATTCCTTTTATTAAAAAAAAAAATTTGTGAAACATTGTGCACCTATTATAATTTCAAAGGTAAACTGCTTTTTATCATGAAAAATTATCAACGTTAAGCTTAGCTTGTTTCCAATATATATGCATTATTTCTTATACAATTTAAAATATCTTGAACCCCTTCTGTCTTGTTTTTTTTTTTACTGCAGAAAATTAACATATGTTCTATCCTAAATTCGAAAGTGCAAATTATTTTTGTCAGCGAACACATTTTGCTTGATCTCCACTTTTGTCTGCAATTAACCTAAGTTTTTTCTTAAATAAAATATACTGTGATTACATTTATTAACTTAACTCTAATGCTTTAACATGTTTAAGTTCAATGTCTGCTTAAAATAATTATTAAAATTAGATAAAAAAAACTATTTTCAAGTTCTAATGAGAAAATAATATTAATGAATTGAAATAATTATAATGTTAATGGATAATTTTAACACTAATAAAGCAAAGTTAAAAAGCACAAAATAATTCTGATTTAAATTCAAGGCAAAATCTCACTTCGAGGCTAGTTGCACTTTATTCAGAAATAATAATGAGATTTTAAGAGATGTGTAAAAGTAAGAAGAGTATAGCTCAGCTTCAATGATGCAACTTTTCTTATCGTCACATAGTATGTGACGTCTACTATGGGGCACAAAGATTTCAACCGACGTGATGTCAACGGAAAAAGCATTAAGGCAAAAGAAATTTCTTAATTGTTTTTTTTTTTTTCAAATCATCTGAGAATAAAAATTTACTCTTATTTGTTACGGGTACATTTTTGTTTTGTTTATAATTCAAATTTTTTTTCCAGATAAAATGGCACTAAGACCATTAGTTAAGCATAAATGTGTGAAGAAAAGGCTAAAGAAGTTTAAACGTCATCAATCTGATCGATATGGAAAACTTAAAGTAAGTTTCTATCTTAATTAGGTTCTTGGAATTTGAATAAGGAAAAGGTGAAAGATGGTTAAATTAGGTTTAATTATGTCTGCGACTCAGCAATCTGATTTAAATCAAGCCAGGCTGTAAACTTGTCTTCTCTCTTCGTTCACCAGCTTGATCATACAATTGTATCTATTTTGTTCATATTTTAATGTTTTTATGAATGAATCAAGTACTTCACAAGTTAACAGTTAGTTTTAAAACAAGGAATTCTGAAAATTTCACGAGCAAGGCTCTGCTTAGTTTTTTTTTCCTCCAGTTATTGAGTTTACATACAATTTATTTTTAATTACTGAAATAGCATGTTTGGTCTGGCATTCTAACTAAAACTAGTCCTTAATGCTGCAGATTAACATATAAAATTAAATTTGTTCCTGCCTCTTGTTGGAAGAGGCAAGAATTTTTGAATTTTCTTAAGCAAGAATATCCTGTTAGGGTTTTAAAATTTAGAGTAATTAAGAACTTTCTTTTTTTTATTGTAGAAAAAAAAATCACATCATACTTGTATATTATATGTAGTTTATTTATTATCCACAAATTATGTTAAGGTATACTCACCATATAATATTGTTCCTAGTTTTTATTTTAAGTTTTCTTAGAACTGTGATTCTGACGTAAAGCAAAAACCTTCACAATTTTTTAAGATTAAAAGTTTCTAAGGTAATATTTAAGTTAGAGAAAACAATACCAAGCAATATAAACGAAATGTAAATTTAGTTTTCAAAAAAATGATAAAATCCTCTATAAAAGCAAAGCTTTAACATTTTCTATAAAAAATTATAATTTTCATTCTCTTAAAACAAAAATATTTTTTCTAATGCACTGTAATCTACATTTATTCTGATATTAGTCACTGAATTTGGTAGTGTAATTCTTAAGAATAGATAAAAATTTTAAATTAAATTTAGAGAGCTTCATTTATGATTAAATTTTTTAAGAACTATTTTTAAAACAGAATTAAACATTCAGAATCATTTTTGGGAGACAATTTTGATTATTTAAAGAATTAAGTTCAAAGAATGCTTGTTTCATTTTAATTATTGAACAATTGCTAATGTAGCAAATTTATTATTTAAATTTATTCCCAATACATTATTTGATCTAAGTTGATAGTAATAAATTTTTGATATTAATTTGTGTACAATAAGTATTTAATTTTAAAAGCCAAGTTATCAAACAGTCCTATAAAACGTTGCAACCTGGGCAATTATATTCAGCCTCATCAAAAGGGGGAAAGACAAAAAATAGTTCTTGAAAATATTTTGCATTGTGTTTTTTTCCCCATCATTCTACAGTTGTCCTATATTTGTTGTTTATTCATATTATTTTTTATTAACTTCTAAATATTTTCTATGCATAGTTGTGTTAAATAAATAAGCGTTCTAAATTCATTTAGCCTAACTGGAGAAAACCAAGAGGTATTGACAACAGAGTCCGTAGACGTTTTAAGGGACAGTGCTTAATGCCCAACATTGGTTATGGTAGCAACAAAAAGACCAAGCATATTTTACCTAATGGTTTCAAGAAAGTAGTTATTAATAACGTAAAGGTGAGAATTAATATTTTGTTCTATTCTTCTGTATTGAACTCTGTCATTAATTTTCATTTTTAATAAATTGTTGCTTTTTCTTGTTCAGGAACTTGAAATGTTAATGATGATGAACAAGAGGTATTGTGCTGAAATCTCTCACGCTGTATCATCCAAGAAACGAAAAACTATTGTTGAAAGAGCCCAACAGTTGGCTGTTCGTGTTACAAATGCTAACGCTAGATTACGTTCAGAGGAAAATGAATAAATGTTTATAATAAAAAGGAACATATTTGTTAGGTGCTTTCTTTTTCATTATTGTTATACTTTTTCTTAATACTGTAAATCGTACTTTTCTGAAGTTCCAATAATATTTTAAACAGGGGTGATTGTGAGCCCAACTAAAAAATATTGCAAAGTATAAGTTTGCTTTTACTCTTATCGCATTTATTATTCTACCAGAAAAAATATTTACAAATGAAAGAGATGCCAAGCATAAATTCTAATATTTTTAGATGAAATATACTAGAATTTTTATACATTAATGTGATCGATTTCTTGAAACTTCCGTATTGTGGTTAGCAAAAAATCCGAATTTTTTCCCGAAGCACTATCATCTCTGTTAAAATCAATTTAATTGAATCTTTCTTTTTACAGTTCTGCGTTATGTTGTATTGTTACTCACACACCCTCTAGTGAAATACATACTCCTGTAGTGTTAAAAAGTAAAGACAATATTTCAGGGGAAAAATCAAAACATTTTTGGTGAACTGTATACGTGACTATTTTTAAAAAGAGGAAACTTAAAGCTAAAAAAGAAAGTTGGTATATTGCCTCGAGAATCTTTTTTTAGAAGGAAAAAAGGCAACTCTTTATACTTTTGAATAGAAAATGAAGATCAAAAATGATTTAAGCAATTAGTGCAGTTTGATGCATGCATCGCCACTGGTGTCTCGGAATCTGGATTTTCTAAATGTTAGGCATTTCTATTGGTATAATAAAAAAAAATTCTTTTTTAATACATTTTAGAAATTTGAATAAAATGAAGATTGATCCAAAGAAAACTGAATTATCTTCATTTAACAATAAATTACTTAAGAGCTAAAATATTTTATAGTCTACATACTACAGAATAAATGTATTGCGAAAAAATAACAAATTGCAATGTATCATCTGGAAATAAAATAAAAAAAACTAAGAAATTTAATTTTACTTAAAAATGAACTTAACAATAAATGAAATTAATAAGAAATGTAATCAATGCTTTCACTTCAATAAAGAAAAACTAACACCCTCAATATGCTAAGTCATTTAGCATCATTTTTTAACAAGCAATTTAGTCAACCAAAAAGTAAGATTTTAGGTCTGATGAGTAATTAGTGGACAGTCTTTAAATTAAGCAATTGAAGAATTCTGAAGTTTTTGCATTTTTATATCTAAGTCAATAATTTTTAAAGTTGGTTTATTTCAAAACTAAAGGTTAGAAGCGTATCAAAAGTATGCCACCATAAATTTGTGAATAACCCCTCAAATTTAAGTACTGAAAGCAATCTGAGAATAGAATGTATTTCATATTTTTAAATTTAAATAAAAGTTAAGGCATTGGGAAAAAGTTTTTACCACCCTCACTAGCTGCTTCTCTTAGGATCTGAAAAGAAATCTTATAGTAACAAGAAAAAAACCCTCTTTAAGTGCTTCAATAATCATAGATCATTTTAGGTACATTTGTTTTATGCTGAACCAAGACTTAGCCAATCTTTAAATTCCATCCAGTTTTAGAGGTCTCATATTGCCTTATGGTGAAATACTGAAATTTTGATAGAATTAAGATTATGGAAGATGATAAATACATATAAGATTGTTTTATTTTTTATTTAAAAAGAAGTAAAAAAATTATAGTTCAAATAAAAAATGAATTTGAAAATTTTTATGGGAGAAGATAACACTAGTCTTCAATAATATTAAACTCATTTTGTGTTACTATTAAAGCATAGCATGTAATCATAGAAGGGTGGATTAAAAATTGACAAACATGCTTACATAATATTTAAATGGCCCCTAAATTCAGGATACATAAGCACTCAATTACCATGGCTTGTGACAGTCCAGTCGCATGGGGAAGTCATTGCTTTTTTTCACATAGTATTTCGTGAATATATAAGAATATTTTTTTTTTTTTTTTTTNTTTTTTTTTGTATAATGTGAATTTATTAATATTACTTTGAAATTTTAAATAGTTTTTTTCTTTTTATATAATTTCCTATTGAAGAAAAGAGTAACAGAAAATAGCTGACATGATGGGATAAATTAAATATACATAGCGTAACTGCCATGTGCAGCGGACTGCCTCGAGAATATTTTAGTTTTATACGTAACATAATAATAGTTAAAAACAAATATGATAATTCAAAAATTGTACAATACTATACTTATAGAACAGGATAAAAAATACCCTTATATAAAACTTACATTTTCTAGTAAACATCAGAACTTATTAGTTTTAAAATAATATTAATTAACTTAGAGAATGTAATTTATTATTTTATAGAAATACAATAAAATCCTTTACCAAAGTATTATAATCTCTCTTATTTCTCGTTCTAAATTGGTAAATATACTCAAAGTGCGTATTAATGCTCAGACAATTAACAAGCATGCAATAATTATAAAAAGAAAAAAAAAAGGAACAATTTTCAATCAATAAGAAAACTGATCATTTTAGAAGGACTAATACATTTATTTTGAAATAATAAATAACTTGCAAGTGAAAACCAAAACACTCCTAATACATAATTTTAAAAAAATTAATAAATTTTTACGAAATCACAACATTTTAGAGCAGGGTTTCTTAACCTGTAGTTCATGAACCCCTAAGGGGTCCATGAGTTATATTTTGGGGGTCCGCTGACTACTCCTAATTTTTAAAACGTTTGGAAGCCTACCCATTGCTTGTACAGCGAGCTATGGCAGCTATAATTCCGTTTTCTACAGTGTATCTTTGCAAAGAGGGATATTCCTCACTTGTGACAATAAAAACACAACATCCAAATTGATTGAATGTTGAACAAGATATGCACGTTGCTTTGTCGAAAACAATCCCTCAATTCAATTTATTAATTAAGGAAAAGCAGCAGCAACATTCACATTAAAAATTTTGTATACTATTAAAATAATAAAATTAAACGTTTTCTAATAATTGATGTTTTTTACAATTATCTTTTTCACAGGGGGGTGGTCCGTGACTTCTTAAAAAATTTTAAAAGGGGTCCGTTGTATCAAAAAGGTTAAGAAACACTGCTTTAGAGCATCAATAGCATTTTAATTTTCAATGTTCGTAAAAATCACTCCCTGTCCGAGGTGTCTCCCAACCCACACGTAGGCACACCACATTTTACATGCAGAAAGGTAGACCCCCTGCTCGTGTCGTGCGATAGTTCACACCCTTATTTCTAATAAAAGTTTTAATAAATTCTATGTAACTATGAAATGAAGTATTTGTCATCTTATTAAAATTTTTATTAGATTTTTCTGTTTGTTGTCAAAATAAATGAAGCTGCCAAGAAAGACAATCAATAGTAAGGCATTAAATAGACATTGAACAAATTTAAATCTTTACTTACTATGATAATAAAATATTAAACTATAAATCTACATAACATTGTATTTAATCCACCATCATTAATTTCCTTTTCTGGATTTAAATTTGTTAGATATAATTCATCAGTCACATTGCAACATAATTTAATGCTATAACAATAAAATATTAGAATTTACACATAACATTTACATATAGAATTTACAATATTTATATCACATCTTATTTAGTTCACCAGCTGTTAAATTCCTTTGCTGGATTAAATTCTTCAGATAAAATTCTCCTGAAAAAGAATAAAATATGAATTAAGTTTTTAAAATAAATAGTTGAAAAAGAAAAATACACAATTGTAACTATGATACAGTAAGTATAAAAAAATTTTTTTTATTCAAAGCATTGACCATTGAACCACCATACATTTAAATTAAATAATTATTTGCCCTGTTTAGTATACCATTTTAATCAAATATTCATTAAAATGGTATACTTTGATAATTTAAACCAGTAGATCATATCGCATCAAATCAGATCTACTCTACGGCTCTCTATCGAGGAAAATCTTGCTAAAGCTATACTGTTTCTTAGAAATTACAAATGCCAGTTTTTCTGTTTAATATTAATGAGCATAAATAATCTGCTATACAATAAATTTTTTTCTTCTGTAGCATCAATTACTTTTATATTTAAAAAAAAAAAGCTGTAACACATGTGTATGTTTACATACATATGAAGGGGTCAGTCTTAATAATAAAAAGTTTAAAAGTTCCAAGAGTCTGTCATTTTCCCTTCAGACTCCACAGCCCTGATAGTAACCACTTTAAAGTAAAGCTTAACCCATTTAATTTAAATTCAGAATAATTTAATACAAGAATTAAATAAAAAGAAATAGTTAAGATGTTCTTTTGAATTTATGCTGTTATCTGGTATGTATAAATGGGATGAGGATGATGACCCACTTATTAGTCATCCTTTAGGATGACTTAAGTTATTTTAAGTCTGGTATGTTAACAGCTATAGCAAGAAAAATACTATGTATAGAACTCTTACTTTTTATCCATCTTTAAAAGATCAAAAACAATTTACAGTTAGTCAAAAATATTTTTACTAGTCTTAATAAAAAGCGGGGGGGTTTTCCAAAAAAACCCCCTAGTAAGTACTGAAGTCACCTTTCACATATTAATAAAAAAATTGAATCACAAACAGTTTCCTTTTTCACAAAACTCAAGATTTCTTTACATATTGATGTTATGTGCCATGCTTACAATTATTCTAAAACGTAGTGGTTAAAAATAAATAAAACTTAACCAGATACTCATGATTAATTGTTACAAAACAACAGTCATAAAAATAGCTTTATTCTAATTCTTTTATTACTGGTGAAACAAATTCATTACAGATAATGAATGAGCACTCCATAAAGTCAAANTTTTTCACAAAACTCTAGATTTCTTTACATATTGATGTTAAAAATAAATAAAACTTAACCAGATACTCATGATTAATTGTTACAAAACAACAGACATAAAAATAGCTTTATTCTAATTCTTTTATTACTGGTGAAACAAATTCATTACAGATAATGAATGAGCACTCAATAAAGTCAAATCAATTTTTGCATATATTTATGAGCTCAAACGATGTGTAACTAAGAAATTCTATGTGAGGGAAATTTTTCGCAACATTTAAAAAGAAATGTAGCAAATTTCAGCAATTAATGAAAGAAATTAAAATGATGTAATTAAAAAAAAAATTCTTGTATTGAATGGTAATTCAAATAAATACAAATTAATGTGATAAAGATTCTCACGTGAAATTAAGTAGGTTATCAAATAATTCACAGATGCAATGAGTTAGTTAACTGTAAATATTTCAATTTAATGATTTAAGTAAACTTATTTTAATACTTTTTGTCAGGTGTGCAAAGTGAAAAACAGAAAACTTTTTTTTTCCTCATTAATTTTGACCCTAAACATAAGGGTTTAGCTGCAATCTGGAAAATATGGTCAAAAATAGTTTAATAAAGAGACCAGATGAAAGTTTGACCCTTTTAGGTAATTTTTTTGTGGGAATATTTCACCATATCTCTGAAACTGTTAAAAAGAGTCAAGAATGTTTTACTAACACTTGTTTCTCCAAAGATAATTCCACATAAAAAATAATTGTTAATATATATAATAAAAAAACTTATATTTCATTTGGAAAAATAAGTTATGTAATAATAAGCTTTTTTTTTTCTTTTTTGTTTCACTTAGGTAACATAAATATAGCAAAATACAGAAAAAATAAAATTGCCATTCAGGGAATCAGACTTTTGTCCAATCTAGGGATTAAACTATTGAAACCTTTTTTGCCAAATTATAGCTAGTCCTCTTTCTTAATTTCAGGGACAAAAATCCAAAAGCAAACTGAAAATTCACCTTCTTTGTAACTTAAAATATCATCTACAGTCATAAATTAACTTATTTAAGGTCAAACCTTCGAACCATTAGGATTGCTTTAAGCACATGAAAATCTGATCACTAAATCAAAAGTTATAAGGATGTTTTTATTTTGCACACAGCAGATCCAAAATAAAAAAAATTACATCACATTTTATGCAAATTCGAAATTTATTAATTTTCAACAGTTTAGATGTTACCTGCTTTATATGAAGACCTCACTAATGGACCACTGGCAGTGTACTGAAATCCTAACTGATTTCCATACTCTTCCCAATACTTGAATTTTTCTGGAGTTACATACTCTTTCACCTTTAACAAGAAATTGAATTGCAAGTTGAGGGAAAAAAATGAATAAAAAAATAATGCTAATTTAGTTATTTGATATTAATACATTTCCTTAATGCAATGCAAAACTCCTAAAACATGCATCTCTTCTTTTAAGAGTCGTACACCAGGGTAACTTAATATCAATTATTATTTTTGGCAGACTGTCAAGTTCACAAATGAGATAATAAAGGCAACAAAGTAGTGGCTCAAGAGATAGAGCGTTTATGTTAAAGTGTAAGATTTTTCATTGCACCGTCTAATTTAGTTTCTAAAAAAAAACTACTATTCTCAAAGTAATTATGATTTTCCTTTGTAGTTACAACGTCTGATAATGAACTATATGCCATACTTAGTTTAAATTTCTAATTTATTTTTAGTAACTAAATTGAGAAGTTGCGTTTTTGATCAAAGGAGTCTCAATCCACTTCAATATTTTAACTCTCATCTGTGGTGGCTCTGGGGATAGAGCCTTTGCCTTCCTATGAGGTGTACCGGGTCTGAATCCCAGAGATGGCTGGTCGATATGAATTCGGCACTTGGCTTGCACCAACCATAGTGCTGATGTAAATTATCCTCCTCAGTGGTAGGCAGATCATGGGTTAGAGTACCTTTGCAGTCAGGCTAACCATGGATGGTTTTCCTCTCCATGTAATGCAACTGTGGGTTAGTATCATTAAGAAGTCCTCCAGGAAGGCAAATTTCTCCCAATACTTGATCCAGGAAGTTCCTTTGTCTTCTGGATTGGGTTCAAAATTACAAAGCCACAGAGTTGAGCATTAGTGGTCATAAACCCAAAATTGGGTCGGCTGTTCAGCGACTGTATAAAAAATAAAGGCAATAATCTCCTTTGTTTTTTTGGTTTAGGACAAGACTAAAATACACATTGAAACAAAAATTTCTCAACTAGGCGCATGACAAATTCTTAAATTTAACAATAAAAAACAGTCAATAGCTTATTAACACAAAAATTTAATAATAAAGTAACAATATGCTGAGAATACTTTTTAAAGTAGTAACTTTGTTAACTGTGACTTATACCCAGATTATTTTTGAAATAGTCCAAAAATTTAAACATGTGTAGGAAGAATGGTCCATGTTTTTAAAGAGTTAAATGTTTTGTATGAAATGAAATCGCATTTGATTAAGACATCTAATGGTTCAAATAAAATTTGACAAAGTAAATTCATTTTTGGAAATAAGAATGTTATATTTTATTCTCACAACTGTTACACAGAAATCAGCAGAGTTTGAAATTACACTGTAATCTTTTAAGAATCATTCTAAAGTATGTTTGGTAAGTTGAAGATTTTTTGACACTTCTCTGATTCCAGATGTTAAGTTAAAGCTGCAGCTTTGATAAGGCTCTGTCTTTTTTTTTATATATATATTTATGAGCCCTGTTGAGCTTCATATCTTAATTTGCAATTTTTAATTTTTTTTTAAAAAAAAACATTAATTATTTAAAGAAACATCTTTTAGTTATAAAAATGAAAATTAATTTCAATTACTATTATGATTAGCATGTCTAAATTAGATATTCAAATTAAAATGAATACTCTATAATCGAATTTCGAAATCAAAATAAAATAAAATACATCACTCAGACACAAATTATCTGTATAAACATTTAAAAAAAATCAATTAAAAGCATTAAAATCTTTTAATTTGTTTGTTTTAAGCCTGAAAAAATTTTAAAGTCATGAAAAAAAAAGATTATTAAAAAACTTAAAAGAGAAATGGAACATGGGGAAATTTAGAAAACCAGCTCCAGGGAAAACATAGTTCCTGACTTCTGCTGAAAATGTTCCAGAAAATTTTTAAGCAAAGCTTTTCAGTTGAGCAAGATCAATTAAAAATCAAATAATTTTTTTAATGCAGCATAAATAATTTATCAATGATATAAAAACTAAATTATCATTTTCAACTTTAGGCAACAAAAGCATGAATTTTTTGAAAAAAATGCTTGTAATAAAATTTGACAACATTTTTCAAATTGTTCAGTTCAGAATACCTAGTTTAGAGAACTGAAGGAAGAATTGTAGCACGATTGGAGGATTTTTGTGAATCAGTATATGTAAAAAGAAATAAAGAATAATTCGAGAATTTACCTTTAAATGTGTTTTTGTTGGCTGCATATACTGTCCAAGAGTTAGGCAATCTACATTAGCTTCTCTGAGATCTAAAAAAATATTTTTGTACAAATGTAAAATTTTTTTAAATGTGTTTTAAAAATATTCAAGAAATTATCACATGTAACTTCAGCTGACTTAACTTTAATTAGTGTCTTGTCTCTATTTAAGTTTAAAAATATTCAAGAAATATACATGTGTAACTTCAAATGACTTAACTTTAATTACTATCTTGGGATGTGACTTTTAAAAATTCATGCATTTAATTAGTTTTTATTAAGCTTTTTAGTGCACTAGCTGAATTATTAATTAAGAATAATATTACATATACTATTCAGAGAAATCTAAATTGTAAATTGAAGCAAAAAGAAAAACTTAAATAAAATCTTATTAGTAATAACACTTAAACTTTGAGAGTTTTTAAGGAAGGAGAAAACATCAAAGTACATTTCTTAAACAATCAAGTCCCTCTTAGTAGCAAATAAACACTATGATGTGTACAATTTAAAGGAGTGTTAAGATTTTATAGATTTGGCGAATAGAAAATTTGGAGTCAAATATAAATTAAGTTTAAATTTTTGTTAAGTGGCTAAATATTCCTGTTATTGACTTTAAACCATTCTACATCGATCCTATCAAAATAGTAACAAGACTTCTGTTCTGAAATCTTTGTATTGTAAAGCACAAAACGGTTTCTAGAATATTAGGAAACTAGATTTGTCATTTTTTTTCTAAAACTTTTACAAACACAGCATAAGTATCAACAAAACTCTAGGTGTTCAAGAAGGAAACTGAAATATTACTCAAATCAGCTATTTTAGCATGGATGAAGATATTACTCGAATCAGCTATTTCAGCATGGATGAAGATATTACTCAAATCAGCTATTTTAGCATGGATTAAAATATTACTCAAACCAGATATTTTAGCATGGATTAAGATATTGCTCCAATCAGCTATTTTAGCATGGATTAAGATATTACTCAAATCAGCTACTTTAGCATGAATTAAGATACTGCTCAAATCAGCTATTTTAGCAGACATTTCAAAATATTAAAAAAAGGCTTATAGAAAAGAATTATTAATAAACTCAATGCATTTGAACTATAAAATTGCTGATAATTTGAAGAAAGTTTTGGGGGCTGTACATAAACTATGCCTCTTATTGAATAAAAAGTCTGGGAAAATTTTGGTGGCCTGAGACTGTGAGATAGGACAGAAAAGCCTGAGACTCCAGCCTGAAGATTAAGTCGACAGGTCAGTAAAAAATTGAGATAAAGCACTATTTTCATTTCCTATTGTTAACATATAAAATTTAAAGACAATTTGCTTACTTTTATTAAAATGTGACCACTTAATTGTATTTCATATTTTTATTCTTGAATATTTTTCCATATTTTAAATTTAATAAAATAGCTATTTCTCATAAACTTGGTCAACTATTTAGATCAGATCTTCATTATCTGATTTAAGTTTGTTCCCAGTTAAATTTTATAATTGAATTAGATTTTATGCTTCTTCACAATTTCATATGAGTATGGTAAATAAAAGAAAATGAAGTTGATAATCACAAATCCATATATCCATTGTAATTTTGGATTCAACAAACTTTTGTAACTCGAGTTTGAAAACAACGGGTTTGCTTCCTTATAAGAATATACCAGTTCATAGCACATTAATTATAAATTATGTAACATACCATAATTAATTCACACGTACACTTATTATTTTATTTTTAATTTTCCATCATTTCATTTTAAATTTTTTGACACACAGGAAACAAATAAACATGCATGACAGGACATACAATGCTATGTGTTTCCAAATTAGCAATAAAATAATGATATATTTAATGGCCACATTTATAACGATTCTAGCTTAAAATAATATGAAATAAACAACCATTTTTTTTTGTTCTGAGAGGAAAAAGACAACTGAATATCTAATCATTAATACAGAAATGTTTAATTTGGCAATAATAAATAAAAATTAAAATACTATTATTAAAAATAGGTAGTCAAATAATATTGGAACCTAACTTGCTCCCAATCAAATAAAATAAACTTCACTAACCTATTTACTTTCTAGCAATAATAAAATTATAGAATAGGGAACTTTTAATGCATAAAATAATCCAAAAGGAAATTTTTTTAATTATAATGAAATGCATTAAAAAAATAAAATGATTACATTCAGTTTAATGTTTGAATAATTTAAGAATTAAATAATTTAAAACAGAGCAGGCTATATTCTGCACATAGAAGAAAATACTTATACACAAAGTATAATAAAAATCGATATAATGAAGTTCATACCATTCATTGTTGCTTTAATCATGTCATCTGTTTCCCCAAATCCAAGCATTATGGATGTCTTTGTGATAATTAAAGGTTTGACTTTTTTGGCATGTTTAAGTACTTCTATGGATTGTTTATAATTAGCTCTAAAATCTCTTATATACCTGCAGTTGTAAAAAATAATTTTAATACAAAATACATAAACTCAGTGTAAAAAAATAAATATAAGTAGGGATTGTCAGAGTCATTAAAGAAAAGATTTAAAGAAAAATTATTTCATATTTTAAGATAAAGAAAATATTTAAAAAAAAAACTTATATAGGATATCTGATGAAAAATATTCTGAAAATTGCTAACAAAATAGCATAAAAACATAATTATTTAATTAATATTTTAAAATAGAGATAAGACTAAATTTAACAAAAACAATAATAACAATAAATAATTTAGTTCCAGAATCTTATTTCGGAAAAAACAACTCTACTATTTAATAAACATTTACATCCAAGTGCTAAAAATAAATTAGAAAAAGAAATATCAATCAGAAAAGAAATATCATCAATTATATTTAAAAAAGTGTATTTAAAAAGGAAATGACTGAACAAATTAATCAATACTAAAATATAGCTAAAAGTACTCTATTAAACAAATAAATCTATATAACAATCCATTTTCTGTATGTTTTATATCATATGCAATCCTTTTAGCAAGAATGAAATTTTGAATATATTATTAGAAAAAGCTATAAACTTGTTATATCAGGTCTGCAATGAATATTTTTCATAAACAAAAATATTGATGCGAAAATTGAGAATTTTATATCGAAAAAAAAACATAGAAAACTTAAATTATATTTAATGGTAAATAAAACTAAATATGTAATGATTATAAAATTTAATGTAGGAAAATTTCAATCATTTTAAGAGAACAAAATAATATAGGAATGATTCAAAAATATATAAACAATATAAAAGTTTTTTTTCTATTTAAGAAATTAAAAGTGTTAAAAAAACTTTTTACATTTAAATTATTTTTTTTTAAATCCTAAAAAAAAAAAAAAAAATTATGCTTTTATTTTACAAAAAAGCAAAAAAACAAACAAACATATGGTTGAGATGAATAAATGATAAGCAAAATTTTGACAGATATTTGAAGAAAATCTGTTAAAATAACATACAGTTTAATATTAGGCACTGAATAACAAAAAATTTTTTAATAAGAGAAAATGAAAAAAATAGCAAATGAAAATTCAATTCATAAAAAACAGACAAAAATTTTATATATCTGACTACTGAAAAGGGACAGGAAAATGTTTTTATAAGAGCTTTTGCATATTTAAAAATAAAGAAAATAATTGAAGATGCTTTTAAAAAATGAATACCAATATCAGTTAATAAATCATAGATAATTAAAATGAGATTGTTAATTTTTAAAAACAGAAGTGCAAATACAATTAAACTAACATTCAAATATAACATATTCAGATAATTAAATTTAAAATAAACATCGAACAAAATTATTTACAGCAAAACATAGAAATCTTTCTAATTTTCTGTAATTTAATATTAAATTTAAGAAGTTTATGAGAGAGAAAATTAATAAATAAGATTGGGGTTTAAATATATTTAACAAATTTAATTAAATCTAATGCCCCAATTATGATGACCAAAAAACTTTTTGAGATAAGACTAATAAAACAAATAATTAGTATATGACATTTGTCAAGGAGTAAATTAAGAATCTCATACATTATAGGTTAGTAATAATTTATAATGTTAAGCCCTACTCCCTTCAGCAAAGAGAGTTACGGAGGTTAAGGCGACATAATCTCAAGACTAACCACATAATATGGCAAATTGGAAAAGACAACAATAAACCAGTATACATTGTTCCCCTTTACTTCCCAGTCAAGCTCGCAGGATCTGAAGTTAAGTAGGTTTTGATTTATAGAAATGAAATAATAGGTCTATGACAGATTCAGCTTGATTTTAACCCATAGAAAATACCACATTTTCTCTAATACAAAACAAATACTATGCTTTGACATGAAATGATATTTTTGTGTTAATTCTGCACTGTCTAAAGGAACAAAAATAGGATGTTAATATATGTTACATTCAGGAAATGAAAATATTATTTCAGTAATTAAGAAATAATAAAAATAATATATATGTATTTTTTAAAATTAATATTACAATAAACTAAAGTAGTTGCAAAGTATTTATACTTTTGATAACGTTCAACTGTTTCAAGATTATGAGCATAAACATCTAAACCACTGAGAGCAACAACTTCTACAGCAGATAAATCACCAGCAAAATCAGGTGTTAAGCATTCAACAAGTAATTTGGGTTTCCTATAAGTAAAATTAATTACATGATTACTCAACTAGGATCAATACAGTCAGCATTTTTAAAAACGTAATTTAGTATTACACATTTGCTTGCAGTTTGATTTTTGAAAAATATCCTTCTATTTATATAAATTACTCATTAAAGATTTTTTAATCATCATAACAATCAGTTTTTGTCAGTTCAAACAAACAAAGAAGTTAACTTAAAAAACTAGAACAAATAAATGTACAGTACTATATTTCTTTCTATAGTTATTAACAAAACAATACCTTTGCTATAAATTACTGTACAAGTTCTAAAATAAATTCTAGGGAAAAAAAATGGCGGTGAAGAAAATGGACTCTTTTTAAGTACAAAGCTTTATTAAGAATTAATTCCTAGCAATACACTATTAAGCTCAAAATAAAGTATTATTTATAATGCATATTAGTATGTCTAAAAATTTCTAGCAACACAGTTGTTAGTGTGAATGAAAGAAAGAAAAATTTCTATAAAAATGATTATATTTTCAATGAGGTAAAATAACAATTATATTAAGATGGTATGAAATACTGTTAATAAGGTTACATATTCTTTGTCTATAGAAACAGTAAAAACCAACTGGTGAACTAAATATTTTGAAAATCATTGAATAAATGTAATGCAGTTTGATAATAAGTTTAAGTGGCACGGATATTGATCTACCAGTTAATATTGACATCTATATAGGACAAATATTGAACAATAATAATGAACACTTTGATTATTAGGAAAGATTGATTTTGATTCTCTGAATCGGATTTCAATAAGAATCATTTCGATGATTAATACAATATTTAAGTAGTAGTTCACACACAACTTTTTATTAAAAAAACCACTTAAATCGTAAATAATATTAAAAAAATTAACAGTAGAAAACAAATTTAAAAGCATGAATTATTCATCTAGGTAGTAAAAAATTGCATTGTTATAAAAATCATTCCTATGCAAAAATAACTTTTAATAGAAATAAGTTTTCATATAATAGTAGAACTCTAATTTAACCTCAGGCTTGAATAAAAAATCTCTCTTTACAACTCAGTCTCCTTTCCTATATCAATAACATAAAAAATACCCCTCTAACACTATTCCCCCAAAATACTGATGTTTCAGAAAATATAATTTTACATTAGGTCTGACTCACAAAAATTCTGACAGCATTTCAGAACAGAATGCCAAGCTTGATACTGGCTTTGTGGATCACTCAAAATGTGATAACGCTCTAATAGCTTGTGAGTGGGATAAAATTTCAATGGCTGAAATTATGGAATCTTGTAGTGATAAAGAAGACTGAATCATCAGATCAACCAACATTGTTCCATAAATTTTACTTTTCTACTAAATAAATTACATTCATATTGTATTTAGTTATTTAATAAAATATAAATAAACTTGTGTGCATTTAAATATAGATATATAAAGACGTTTCACTATTTACGACCTTTTTGTCCCGTCCAACGAGTATCAATCGATGTTCTACTGTATTTATTTCAATTGAATATTTTAATATCATTTGCTAAAGAGTGATAAAGTATAAAATTCCATAAAAAAATTTGCACCTTCTTTTTAACTCCACAACAGTTTCTGCTATATGATTTGCACCTCCATCCGGAAGATCTAAAAATAAAAATATATAAAATAAATATATAAATCAGAATTGTAATGAGACAAAATTTCTCAATGATCAGAGTTATTTTAACCCTCTAAATAAAACTAATGCATTAATTCTATCAACACTTAACATAGAGATGCATGGCCTATCTTTGAAAGCAGGTAAACATTTAAGAAAAAAGATGATTTTTAAAGGGCACAATAAGTTTAATCAATTGTTAATAACATGAAGTTTTCTTCCAAATTAAAAAAAAGAGCACAGGAAATTATTTATAATACTTGCAAAGTATACAATTTAAAAATACATGAAGTTTTGCACACATTGTCTTCTTTAACGATATTTAACAGCAAGTTTTCATCTTTCTTTATGAAAAAATTAGTTAGCTTCATTATTAAAAATGAACTAGAGCAGTGGTTTCCAAACTTGATGTTACTACGCCTCCCTTAAAAATTTTTAATAATTTGGCGCCCCCCCCCTCGAAGATNGGGGTCTAGGTATATGGATGCTAAGTTACGAAATGTTTAGTTGAACTATGCGCGATAAAGTACGATGGTATTTTTTCATTTATTCTCTCATCTTTTACATAGAAAACTTTAGCAGTAATTTGGAAAATTGTTCACTGTGACTAATTTTCGCGGCTCCCTTTAGGCCAGTCCGCGCCTCCCTAGGGAGGCGCGCCTCCCAGTTTGGAAAACGCTGAACTAGAGTTCTGAACAAACCTCAAACCTTTCATACACCTTTTTCCGGACATAAAATTATTACTTCCCAGATGTTTGAAAATTTTAGAAATATAGAAATTATTATTAAAATTAATTTTATGATTAATGACTTTATAATCAATGTACTTCATATTTTTAATTATATAAAATAATTTTAAGCAAGAACAATAAAACACACTAACCATCTCTATCAACAGATGTGAGAACAACGTAATCCAAGTTCCAATCAGCAATAGCCTGAGCTGTATTCTTTGGTTCATCAGGATCCGGAGGTGGGGGCCTCCGGCTAGTTTTCACAGAACAGAATCGGCAACCTCGAGTACAGGTATCACCTAATAACTTCAAAATTTTTTCAATAACAAAATTATGAATATAGAAACTACAAAAGCGAGTTTTAACAATTAACAAATAATAAGCATAACAAACAAAGATAATAATGCAAAAGAAAAGTAAAATGAAAAGAGGATAAAAAAATATGCACACGTAAAAATAATTACATTAAAATCAATTTATTTTTTGTAATTGGTAAAAAAACTTTTGGATTAAATTTTAAAAATAAATATCTAATTCTTTTTCTTTAATAATAAAGAAGTTCAATTGTAATTCAGATAAATATTATAGTCAGGTTTTGATATTTACATTAAAAAGGAATTACATAATTTGCTAATACATTAAAATCAATTTATTTTTCATAATTGATAAAAAAAAAACTTTTAAATCAAACTTTAAATATAAATATCTATTTCTTTTTCTTTAATAATTAAGAAGTTCAATTGTAATTCAGGCAAAATAGTCAGATTTTATTATTTAAATTAAAAAGGAATTATAAAATTTGCTAATAAAGAATTGTTTAAATTAGAATGTGAAAACACTTTTTTCTTCATTAATTAAATTTTTTGAAAATTAAAACAAAGTAAAAGACAACTATTGCAAATTAAAATTATTAATGCAAATTAAAATATAAGATAACTTTACATTTAATATACATAATTATGATAATTAACAGATTAATTTACATGAGTAATAATAACTTATTACATTTTTAACAATAAACTCACCATTATTGTTGCAGTAGCAGTTCCATATTCTCCTCCACCCCAGCATTCCCCTATATTAGGACATCTTGCTTCTTCACAAACCTAAAAATTTACACACTCATTCTGAGAATCAATTAAAGTAACATAAAAACATGAATCAACATTAATGAATCGATTAACATAATTAAAGAAATAAATCCCTCTTAATAATGCAAATGAAAAGCAGAATGAATATGTACACATAAATACAATAACACTAAAATCTATTAATTTATTTTTGTAATTAATAAAAACAAACTGAAAAAAAAATTATGAGCAAGTGACTTTTTAACTATAAAACCATCAGCAAATGACCCATAGTAATTCAGACATAAAGAACAAGAAACAGAAAATAATAAACTATTAAATTAATAAAATTATGTGTACTACTTGCAATTTTTCTAATATGCTAAAAAATATAAAAAGCTAAAAATAATAAATAAAAGTGAAATATAATAATTTTATTATGAAAAGAATGCAATAAATAATGAAATAAAGGTAACAAAGCACAAACTTTGGTTTCATTGTTAATATACATTTTAAAAGTTTCACTCAGTTAGGTTAAAAAACAACTTGAAGTATTTGATTTTAAATAATTATGAGATAATAATTAATGTGGATTTTGAATTGATTTATTTTTATAAAAAAAATTTACCAACTCAAAATGTATGAGTAGATATTTATATATATGAGTAGAATATGTAGAGATTTTGTAGAGGATTTCGACAAAACTTCTTAAGACATTTTTATCAACTTTTATGTGAGTCTTTGCATGCCATAATTAAAAGTCCACCATGCCACTCTATGACATACAAGCTGTGAGTTGGCCATCCATGGTTTAAAAGAAAAGACTTTATTTTGTCATAAAAAAATTAAATCGAATTCAAATATGTTCTAATACCAGACAAAAGCAAAGTATTCTTGTAATGCTTAAACATGCAAAATGCTTGTAATGCTTGCTAATTAAAATATAAACTATGTACATCAAATTAATAACATTGAATTCAATATTATAGTATTGAATTTGAATCTTTTTAAGAGCACATTTATAAAAAACTGTAAAAGAATTAGGAAAAAAGAATAGTAAAAGAGTAAATTTAAATAACACAGGTTTCAAAATGGGCCAAACCAATCAGGCCAGTATAATTGCCTGTATTTAAGCGTAAAAAAAGGCAAATTTTATAGCAAAAGATTAATAAAATATATTAATTGTAACTTCCAAATTACTCTGTTTAAAACAAACAGTTTTAACAGTTTCCAGCACAATGTTATCAATGACGAACACCTCTTAATATAATTTCAAATCAACGCAAAGAAAATTTTTAAAGTAATTTTGCATTTAAAAAAAAAAAAAAAAACTAGTATTAATCATATAATATTCCCTCATACTAATATATGCTTAAAGTTTGTAATTGAGTTCAAGATTTTTTGAATTAAATAATTAATTATATAATTAAATCAAAGATTTCCTTCCAAAAATGTTTAAACAATGAATCCTGTGAAAAAGGTGTTGTGTCTGAACCTCTTAAACTTTTATATAATTAGTAGATTATTCCTCAACAGGAACGAACAGTTTTGTTTGAAAATAATTTTAGTGAATAATCCTTCAATTTCTCATGCAGAAATTCTATATGAAATGATTACTGTATTGTTGATGGACTCGATTTTTAAAATCATATGAACGAGACGAATCAATAATTGTGAAACTGTTCAAGTCTATTCTATAATATTAAAGATGTTGGGTCAAAAATCAAAATTTTTATCAATCAAATCTATTTTTAAAAAATTTTCATTTTTATTCTTAGAAAATGGGATATTTTGAAAACATTTTATAATCAGGAAATTTTTTTTTATCAGAAGTATCAGGTAAACTATAAACTCTGAATATTATTCATACAAAAATATACATCAATAATTATTTATTTTTATAATAATTTTTATTAAAAAAAATTATAATTTTTATAATCAGAGTAACTTTAATACAAATATAATTTAAAATATATATATATACTATATATAATATTATTCCACTTATTTTTCTATTTTGTTGGTAAAATTAGCATACGTTAAAATATTAGTAGATATCTTTTGATTTCCTCGTGAGGAAATATACTCTAATTATAAATTATGGCACATAATAAATTAGAAATTCTTGATTAATATTACAAAAAATCTGAAGATTAAAGAAATATACTATGTATAGATTTTTAAAAAAATAAATGTTAATGGTGTCTTACAGTATGTAAATTCAAATTTCTCAAAGTTTCTTTTAAATGATGATAATTCTTGCCAACTGGAATTTTGCTCTTTACCCATGGAGGCAATCTTAAACGGCTGTAAAATTAAAGATCTTTTATCAATACAAAAATAAATTATAGTTATTTTATAAACAATTTACAATATTAGTCAACTAAAATCAGCAACAAAAAAAAAATAATAATAACCAATATGAAATACGTAGATAATTAGCCAGGACCTTTTTCTGTCCTCCTTCTGTAGTTTCAACTCTCCTTTGTAGTCATCAAATGNTTGTGAAATTAAATTTTTAATTATCTGACCACGCGTGATTCAATAATTATTTCATTATATCTTTTACTCTTTCTTTATGATTACATGTAGATTTTTTTCCGGATAATATGCTAAACTATTTTGTTTAATTTTTTTCTTTAGCACGATTCCCAAGATATTATTGTAGTATAATTTGTTATCAGGAGAAATGCCTTTTTTGTTAAGCAGGAAATACTAAAAATTGAAATTTGTAAGAAGAATCCGAAGCCGTGCCAATTTTAGAACCATCTGATTTTTAAAAAAAATGCAATAAAAAATATGCAATTTCCAAACTTATTTTGGTTTAAAAAAAAAAATTTCAAAAAACGTGGCAAGGAGGTTGACATACTTTTTACAGAAACTGTGAAAACCAATTTTTCCTATATTTCGTCAAAAGAGGATAAGAATGATATTGCTCCAAGGGACTTACTCAACAATTTGGCTATTTCCAGAATGAAATCTGTTTGATCGAAACATATTTCCTTGAAAATTAAAACAAGAAAACAATTAATTTTATTATTTATCTAAGCTTATTCCATTTATTTAATGATAGCGGTATCAAGATTAAGCAATGGAAGCCCCGTTTACTATTATACTATAAATGCATTAAATCAGGTAGTTTGAATATTTTATTTTAAGAAAATTATTTAATAATTTTAAGCAAATAAGGGTGTAAAAATAAACTCGATCAAAATAATCCGAAAGTACACCCTAAAATATATGTAGAATAAACTTTGGAATCGATATATAAGAAACACTTTTTCAAACAACTTCGAGTAGGACGCAAACGCAAACTTTTTTGAAATTGTTGTCCTTGTAACTATTTAATTTCGATTCCTGGTGCTAGAGGACATTCCATTTTCACATTCGACTTTTGAAATTTAAGGCTTGCAGCAACAAAAAAAATTTACTGCACTGATTTTCTTACAAAGTAGTGAATTATTATTTTTTTCAATCTAAGAACCTATGCCCATAACTTATGTAAAACTTATTTTAATATGGAGTGAAATAATTTAATATGTTGTGTAATAGATAATCCCAAGAAACTGAATCGAAAATATAAAAACTTCATTGATTTAAAAAATAATAGATGATAAAAAAAATAGACATGTTTTGAGCGTCCAATAATAAAAGTCACAAGTTATTCAAGCTTGACAAGTTTTGAGAATGGGTGATTATATTTGAACCTTCGAAACATGTCGACTTTTACTTCCCTCTTCATATTTTTTGAGGCCAGGTGAGTTTTTATCATCAATTATACTGTTTTACATTTGGGTCTTGATCATTATTTTGATAACGATTTTACACTCGTTAAAGTAAACATAAGCATTTCTATATTTTAACAGGATTTATGTGGCCTTTAAAAACGTAATAGCATCAATATTGTAAAAGTTATATTTCACTTAAAAATTAAAATTTTGAGACCAGATAGTTTGAGTTAATGAAATTAAATATTTTATCTTTTAAGTTTTTGAGCCCCCATTTCAGTATCTTAAGGATCTTACGAGCTCTGTTTAAAAAGAGAGTATCAGATATATACATAAGAAAACAAAAATGATCATAGTAGCAGTATTTGGGGGTAAATGTAGCTTATCAGAATTGAAGAATATGCTGTGCGACATTATATGGTGAATTTGCGAACTTAAGTTTCAGAATGTATCGAAACATGAGGATGCTACTTGCTAATCATCTTCATCCAAACCATGTAACCTAAATATCTAGCAGAATGAAGCGATTTTTGAACAATGAATCATACAATATGCAACATATTATTTCAATATCTTATTCTTAAACATAACATATTTCAATGTTTTTAAAATGCCACTAAACATTCAGCAATTCCTTGAGTTATAGAAAAAAGAAATATCGTAAATTATAGAAAACCTTGTGAATGTGCATTAGAATTACTATACAATCTACATTTTATTTTTCAAGCACTTTTTTTTTCTTCAAACTTTCATGCCTAGAAGACTCGATTAAAGCTGTAAAAATCATTATCCCTAAAATTTTGTATATAGCTATTATAAGTTATGTTAATTTGATTTTAGTATGAAATCCTCGAATAAACATAGCAAAAATAGCATAATCTAAATAATATCAGATAAAAAGTTCATGTATTTAAATTCTGAAAACTTATAAATCGATTCAAATTTTCTTTTCAAAAGAGATTAAAATAATTTTTTATTTTATTTATTTATTTATTTTTTTTGCTTTTTGGACATAAATGAACTTAAAAATTGTCTATTGCCTAGAAACTTCGAGGTGTTTTCTATTAACTATTAATTAAACCTCTCAGAGCAATCACAAAACATTATTTCAATTTTTTTACAGTCAGAAATTGGTTGCCTAGCAACCTAGTAAAATTAAGCGTTTCTCTTTTGAATCAGTCAAGGGTTATCTTAAAATATTTATTTGCGCAGGCGACTTTTTTTGGCGGTTTTCTGGACTATCGCCAAATATATAAACCTTTATTGCAACCCAATTTACGACCCAATTGTTTTAAAATTTTGTCTACCCCCCCTAATTCAAGTGTCTAGATTCCAAATATGTAAAAAAAAATATATGTTTATTCAGAGAAAGTACGTTTTTGTGTCTGATTTCGTAACTTAATTAATAGTTAGCACTAATTAATTAGCATATTTGAGGTCACCCCCAGGAACCATTAAGATTGACACTTAGTTCGTGAAAATCCGATCATTAGAACGAAAGTTATTCAGGGTGATATCTTTTTTTTTTGCGGACTGTACATCAAATTAATAACATTGAATTCAATATTATAGTATTGAATTCGAATCTTTTTAAGAGCACATTTATAAAAAACTGTAAAAGAATTAGGAAAAAAGAATAGTAAAAGAGTAAATTTAAATAATACAGGTTTCAAAATAGGCCAAAGCAATCAGGACAGTATAATTGCCTGTATTTAAGTGTAAAAAAGGGCAAATTTTATAGCAAAAGATTAATAAAATATATTAATTGTAACTTCAGAATTACTCTGTTTAAAACAAACAGTTTTAACAGTTTCCAGCACAATGTTATCAATGCCCAACACCGAATATAATTTCTTATCAATGCAAAGAAAATTTTTAAAGTAATTTTGCATTAAAAAAAAAAAACTAGCATTAATCATATAATATTCCCTCATACTAATAATATATACTTAAAGTTTGTAATTGAGTTCAAGATTTTTTGAATTAAATAATTAATTATATAATTAAATCAGATATGCCAACTGCTCCGGACACGACTAATTAATTAAAAAAAACGGTAAATAACTATCAACTAAATTTTGCAAATACTTGACTATTTTTGCTTGCTTTATAAATCGTATAGCATGACCTAAGTAATATAAAGTGGTGGATTATATAAGATTACGAATGATTTAGAAATAGTGGTGGATAAAAATCTACTAAATTGAATTTATTAAACCAAGAATCACAATTGATAAACTACCACTTTAAAATATATATTTGCTGTCCGGAGCAAGTTGGCATCTCTGTTAAATCAAAGATTTCCTTCCAAAAATGTTTAAATAATGAATCCTGTGTAAAAGGTGTTGTGTCTGAACCTCTTAAACTTTTATATAATTAGTAGATTGTTCATCAACAGGAACAAACAGTTTTGTTTGAAAATAATTTTAGTGGATAATCCTTCAATTTCTCATGCAGAAATTCTATATGAAATGATTACTGTATTGTTGATGGACTCGATTTTTAAAATCATATGAAAGAGACGAATCAATAATTGTGAAACTGTTCAAATCTATTCTATAATATTAAAGATGTTGGGTCAAAAATAAAAAATTTTATCAATCAAATCTATTTTTAAAAAATTTTCATTTTTATTCTTAAAAAATGGGATATTTTGAAAACACTTTATAATCAGGAATTTTTTTTTTATCAGGAGTATCAGGTAAACTATAAACTCTGAATAGTATTCATACAAAAATATACATAAATAATTATTTATTCTTATAATAATTTTTATTAAAAAAAATTATAATTTTTATAATCAGAGTAACTTTAATGCAAATATAATTTAAAATATATATATATACTATATATAATATTATTCCACTTATTTTTCTATTTTGTTGGTAAAATTAGCATATGTTAAAATATTAGTAGATATCTTTTGATTTCCTCGTGAGGAAATATACTCTAATTATAAATTATGGCACATAATAAATTAGAAATTCTTGATTAATATTACAAAAAATCTGAAGATTAAAGAAATATACTATGTATAGATTTTTAAAAAAATAAATGTTAATGGTGTCTTACAGTATGTAAATTCAAATTTCTCAAAGTTTCTTTTAAATGATGATAGTTTTTGCCAACTGGAATTTTGCTTTTCACCCATGGAGGCAATCTTAAACGGCTGTAAAATTAAAGATCTTTTATCAATACAAAAATAGATTATAGTCATCTTATAAACAATTTACAATATTAGTAAACTAGAATCTGCAAATAATAATAATAATAATCAATATGAAATATGTAAATAATTAGCCAGGACCTTTTTCTGTCCTCTTTCTGTAGCTTCAACTCTCCTTTGTAGTCATCAAATGTAGATCCACGGGGTACAACTCCTGCAATGAAGTCCTGTAGATCAGGTCCACTCTCAACATCTTTGCCAGATGAAGAATAGGAATTAACATTGGATGGGGTTTTAGTACAAATGACTTTATTCTAAATGTTAAAAAATTAAATGTTACAATTCAGAATTGATGTGAAAAAATTGCAAATAAAAATTTAAAAAAGATTTTTTTCTAAAAAAATCCTCTTTAATGAGAAAATACTTTAAATTAAACATAAAAAATTGCTTATGATTGTGCGAAGTTCTCCCTAGGAATAAGAAAGGACAGGATGCACTGCCTCTCAAAAAAGGACACTATAAGTTTTAAGAGGGCACTTATTCAACAGTGTGAAAAATTATCAAAATGTGTAATAACTGAATCTGATCTTCAAAAATTTTTTAAATAACCCTCTTATACTATTTTATGTGTATATTTCAAAAAATGATTATCTATTATTATAAGAATAATAGAAAAATTTAAATAAAATAAAGAAAAAAAGTTACTTATTTAAACAACTTTAAAAACTAAAAACATAAAAAATTTATTAATACTTCCTCCCGTAAGAAAAGAGATACTTATAAAAATTTAAGGAATTGAGAATAATCCTAACAAAGTAAACATTTGTAATAGTTATCAGAATTAAACCACACAGATAATTTTACCAGTAGAAATTATTTTAAAAGTGAATTATTTCTCAAAAATGAAATATGAATATATAGGCAATGTTTTTAAGGGACAGGTGGCTTATTTTTACAAAAAGGACAAAGAAGGTGCATTTATAGAGATCAAAGGGCAGACAGGGTGAACCCCCCTTCTAAAAACGCTTAGGGAGAACAGTAGATTGATTTGTTACCTTAGTAGGTTGACCACAAACACTTGGAAAAAAAATTCCTTAAATTTTTCAGAGAGACTTTATCAAATTTAACTGATTTCTTTAACTGGCTGCATAAATTTTATTATAGGTTTTTCAATTATGCCTCATACATAAAATATACTGTTTATTCTGATGTATAAGTACAAGACAGAAAATATTTGGTATGTCGGGTGTATAAGTCAACCACTGAAGAAAATCAAATACGAAAATTTATACAGTTAAAAAATAAAAAAATAATTATTAAGGGTAATAATACAAGGGGCTGTAGATTTTTTTGATAATGAACCAGAACTTACATTTATATCTAATGAGAAATAAGATTTTAATTTAAGTATAATAAATAAACCTATTTAATATAGTGTTTGTAAGACTACCATTTAATTATCGCTAGCAAATAAACAGTTTTTTCAATCATAAATTACTACTGAATACCATATTTTTGAGGTTATTTTAGAACAAAACGACTTATTTACACATTTAACAAGCAAGACTGATTTCATAAAGATGTAAAACCATCTTAATTTAATAATAATCACCAAAATAGATTTTTATTAATTGAATTCGAGACAGTGTCCAATTAAATATTGAAGACTCAAAATGAAGAATGTTCTATTAAATTAGAATATAAAAGATATTATTCATGATTTAGACATACTTAACTGTAAATTTCAACAATTTTGTAACAATTGATTTACATGCTACAAAAGAAAAAAACAATATAACGAAGAAGAATGCACAACACAATTAAGACGAAGACTCTTCGCATAAATGTTTTATGTAAGCTTGAGAAAGAAAAAACTTCTTTGCAGAATTCAGAACCGGTATTTATTTGTATTCAGAACAAATATGAGGCCTATATGATGAAAATATTTTTTGGCATGGTATAAAAATATACATCATATGACATCCTATTACAACATATAAGTAGAATGAAATTTTTAGTCATGTTGAAGCTCAAAAATATACCATTTTCATTTATGGTTATTAAGGCAATAAAAGAACACAACATTCTCTTATTCAAATGAAATTCAATGCTTGCCATCTGTATATTTTAATTATTCATACTTGTATAATTAAATCAAAGATTTCNAAAAAAAAAAAAAAAACAATAAAAAACAATGTAGTCTGTTCTGTTTATTCTTAAGTAATACATAGATGTTAAACTGTATACAATTGAGTAAAACGTTAAATTAATTTTTATTGCTTTAAAAAGATAGTACAGTACAGAACCCGTTATCCGGAAATCAGTAAACCGGAAAACCAAAAAACCGGAACGAAATTTGATAAATTTTCCCGCCATTTTTTTTTTAAATGTTTTTTTTTCCTCATAAGATTTCAGGATTTTTCTTTCTTTTTTGGAAGATGTTTACCTTACCATCATTTTGGAAATAATCATTAGTGTATTACTTCGTTTTTTCAAGATTATTTCCAAAAAAAATTTTTTTTAGTTGGGTTTAACAATTAAAAAAACGGCTTTTTGTAGCGATTCAGAAAACCGGAAAAATCAGTTATCCGGAATAGCGATGGTCCCGATCGTTCCGGATAATCGGTTCCCTACTGTATATACATTTTTTCTGTCCATACAGAATTTTTAGGAGTAAAAAATGAAACATGGCAAATTGTTTTAATCATTGTTTTTTTACATTAGGTAACTATCAAAGCACTCTAAAAAAAAGTATTTAAAATCATGACCTAAATTTCTAACCTTGGCAATAGAAAAAAAAGTGCAAAAATAAATGAAAATTGATTTTTCAAAACTATGATAATTTGTTCGAATTAATAATTTTTGCTTTTGTATTTCTTCAGAAAAATAAAAATCTATTTTGATACATATAGTAAATTCTTTTAGCATGATTATTAAACTTTTTTTCTTAACAATACTTGAAATTTTATTTAAAAATAAAAATTTTATAGTACATAAAAAAAACTTATAAAATTTACAGATATTTTGGGCTAAAAATCAAAATTTTATAAGTAAATAAAATTAGATCGACACAATGGCTAATATTAAAGTAATAATTACAATAAAATAATAAATCTATGTGATAGTGATTCTTTCAGATACACGAACTGAGTCATTAAAATTTGATAACAAAAACAAACATTTTCAAACGTATCTGTTAATACAAAAAAGAACATATGTAATAAACTAATTAATAATTGATACTAAACATATTATTATTTAATATCGCTAGTGTATTTTTCGCAAAAATAAGGATATTTCGCAAATTATATAACTTTTTAGGAAAAACGTAAACAAACATGCATGAAGAAAACTCACGACAATTTACAACATTATCAGAATCAACATTCATATAAATGATTTATTCCTTGTTTCACTCCAAAAATTACCTTCCAACTATTTTTTAGAATAAAATACTTTCGGCCGATTTCAATATGTAATGGTTTACATTTTCTAATAGTAAACAACTGCCTTCTATAAATACTACAAAAGCTGACGGACATCGCCATGATTGCTTCATACACCAATGGTTGCGCCATCTACAGGAGAGTTTCGTTTTCAATCACAAATTACATCGGGTCATGAGAGAGCAGACGAAAATTTCCGCAGAGGATTAAATTTCAAATTTTTTAAGAAGAAAGCACGAAGATACCTAAATTGTGTTCAATAGATCCAGAATTGATTAATATTAGACGTAAGCAGGTGAGTTTAATAAGAATAATTCTGATTTATGCATTGAAAATAACCTTGAAATTCGGCTTTCCTGTTAAGCCTGATGCTAGGCAGGGAAAGCATCGTATGCATTATCTAAAACGCCTTATCTTTTGTGGACATGCTTCAGGCTGGTGAATTACGCATCCGTATTGATAATGGATAGTTATTTGATAATTAACTCAGAGTTATTAAGTTAAACAGATTTTAGTAATGGATAATTTAGCAAATCAATGTTGCATTAAATATAACCATTGCTGCCATTTTAATTTAATAAACACATGAAATTTTTTTTTTTAAATATTTCCCATTTGCTACCGTTTTTTTGTTGTTGCTTTTTTATTCTTTGATCATATTTTAAAGGGCACAATATTTTGTAACTTTTAAAGGTTAACGAGATAAAAGTTTTCTTTTTATAAAACTTTTCCATTTTTTCAGAAATATATATATATATATATATTTTTTTTTGATACTTAGTGATATTTTTTAAAGATTAGAACAAAAAGAATTAATTTTCAATAGAATGAGTGTCAAAACTTCAAAAAAGTAAATGTAAAAGGAATTTTAAAATAACTTACCATTTAAATGGTGGATTAAAACCTGAATTTTTTTAATTATTTTTTTTTTAATATACAAGTAACGATTTAGGAAAGAAAGTGATAATACATATGTGTTTAACCCATCAATTTCCTATCACTAATTTTGCGATAATGGACGAAGAGCCTTTACGAAAAAGTGGTAATACATAAATGTTGAAACCATCTAGATATTTTCTTCTGTTACCCACCACTCTGGGTTTATAAAGGAGCTATAAATCGATTTCAGATTCAAATATAAATACTTTTATTATTAATATATTATGGTAGATAAAATAATATAGTTATATTATGGTAGATAATACTATAATAGTTCCGCAAAATAAAATATAAATACTTATATTTTAATGCTGTTATGTATAAGATACTTATAATACAATCTATAAATACTTATATTTGGGTCTTCAGTCAACGCGCAGTCCTGTTTTTATAACTAAAGTGGTAAATAAAAGAATGAAATATCCCCTTTTTTGTTTAGGCGTTTTTCCTACATGGACCACTTTTTGTGTCATAGCATTAATGGTTTAAAATCTTGAATTTGCCTATAGTTATTTTTTATTTATATATAGTGGTGACGAAAACCATTTTGAAATAAATTTATACATCCAAGAAATAAAAAAAGAGCAAAAATTTGATTACCACTTTAAATATAAAAATAACATTTTAGAATTTTTGGTTACAGCTCTTTGCAGTGGTTGCAATATTATGAAATTTTTAACTATTTAAATTTTTTTTTATTTATTTCATTATTATCCGTATCTTTGTACCTGCCCATAGCTAAAAATTTATGTATATGCATACCCTCCAACTGCTACGGAATTTCCGTAGTTTCAGAAATCTTCTTTTCAGACGGTAGCAAAATTAATGTCTAAATATTTAAAAAAAATTAATTTTAGCGTAACTTGTCCACTATTACTTATAAAAGTGCAGGCCATATGGCTAGATTCTTAAGTTCTGATAAAAGTTTTATGAGAGATCCATTTGCTTTAAAAATTTCTACTTTGGTTCGCTACCACTAGAAAGAATTATTTTCAAAATCCTCATAAGTTGGAGGGTATGTATATGTATCACAACGGAAAACTGCAAAAACAGATAAATCTTTTTATTTGATCTTGCTTTCGAATAGAGTAAAATTTCCATGAGTATCAATTTTTTTTTTAACAGATATAACATAGATATAAGATTGTTCACACAAGAAAAAAAGCAGCTATAAAAAGTTTATAATTTAGAATAGCAAGAGCTATTTTTACTCCTCCCGAAAATTAGAAGTAAATGAAATATATTTGCTACCAGTTTTTCTTTCTTGAATTAATTCGTAAATCCACTGCCGAAAGCATATCTAGCATTCGATATTTAATTAATATTTAAATTACCGCCTTTATTATGTTGTTGATGAAGGAGGTTGTTGACGGTAAATTGGTTAGTGTGTATAGATGGTACAGACCTGCGACACCCTGTATGGTGTCGAAGTTAGCAGTGAATAGCTTTTTAAAACGGTGTATTTTCTTTTTTTCAATGTGTTTCATGTATTTGTTTAAATTATATATAATTGTGGGCAAAATTATTACAAATCAACATTATTAAACAAATATAAAAATATATTAACATTTGCAAATTTTTACAAGTTTAGAACTTTCGTTACCGGTTCATGCGAAATCGTTAATATAATATATTTTAAGAATAAAAATATTTTAACTTTTATATATTTTTACAAGTCTAGAACTTTCGTTGTCGGTTCATCCGATATCGTTCCCTATAGTTAGTGTCAATAGAACAAATCAAGTGGTTACATATTGTCATCCAAATATTTTTGCACAAAATATGACATTTTTCTCAAGACAATAATATATTGTTCTTTTTTAAAATAAACTCATTGTGAAATATAAAAAATAAAATTTTGTAAAATATAAAAACTAAAATAGTTTTCAAAATAAGAAATTTTAACGTTGATTTTATCTTTATTGAGTACCACTCTTCCATGATAGATATAGTGTAACAACTTGCACTCTGCTTGAAATGAAAGTGCTCACGTATATTTTTTCCACCAGGATCAATTCTAAGATTGAAGAACCAAATTAATTTTGTTCCTTGTATACGTTGCCGTGAATGACCGATATCAAGAGAATGTTGACATTTACCAATGAATGTCAACAGCCGCTTAGGTGAATGTCCGAAATATTTGTTATATTCGATTTCGTATTAATTTATTCATTAGTTTTATCATATTTATTCGATATATTAATATCTGCTGAGGATAGATTGGGAGAAACTGCTTTCGGAGTACCAGGCAAATGTATACCAGGCTGTGGCACTGAACCTTAAAAAAACACCAATGGAGGGTATACCGGGAAGTGGTGCTTAACTAGACCGAGTATATATTTCGGACATTTACCAAAGCGACTTTGTGATTGTCAACATTCACCGGTAGAAGTCAACAACCACCAATTTCGGTCATTCACAGTAACATATACAAGTCATATTTTGCTAATGAAATTTGTGTTTTAAGTCAAAAATGCATCTTTTAAATGGTTTAAAAGCGGGTAAATATATCTATACGTTTTATGCCATATATATTTACAAGACAAATGCGTATAAGCTTTACACAAAACGCATCACCCAACCGTGACCAAATACCTAGCCCTGTTTCTGTCGGCTATATCTTTTAACAGCCATAATACATGGTAGGAATACTATCTAATTTTAAACTCGATCGATAGCATTTTCTCCAAACTTCTACAGCCCAACCAACGAGGGAACTTTCAGTTTCGACAGATTTAACATGCACTTTGCTGCAGTAACCCGTCGGTTGGTCAGTCGCTTGCCAAGATCGTACTCACGACCNTAAAAGAGAAAATAGTATATATTTACTACCACTTTAAATATGAAAATAAAATCTCCCGCAAAATGCGGGAGAGTTGGCAGGTATGAATAACCCGTCGGTTGGTCAGTCGCTTGCCAAGATCGTACTCACGACCTCCAACTCACCAATAGTGGAATGAGGGACACCTTTATCGACAGTGCCATCGTTAGCTTTATATAACAAAGACGCCAGCTTTTCCATTTTTCTGCTGGACTCTTTAATTGCACAAATGGAAAAAGTGCCTTCATGATAGGGTACCTGCTACCATTCAAACGTGGTAGCAGGTTTGCATTTAAGCTAAATGGAAATTTTCTTCATCTAGCTACTAATTTTGTTTTTAAAAAAAATACATCAACTGGTTCAGAAAAGATATAAATCATAAGATATAAATCATAAGATAAATAATTTCATATAATTGATAGATTTTTTTTGATAGGAATATTCAGTTTTTCCAATTGTAAGTGCTAAGAATAAAATATTTTAGTTACCAGTCTGTAACATTTTCATAGAGAGACATATCTCAAAAATGGATCATCAGCATATATACGCAGAGATGTCTACTTGCACCGATCAGCGGATAAATATTTTAGAGTGATAGTCTTTTAATGTATGATTCTTGGTTTAGTAAATTCCATTTATAGGATTTTTACTCACTTCTAAATAATTCTAAATCATCTATCATATGCCACTATGTTACAATAAACACGTTGAATGCCACGCTAATTTTACATGATTCTCCCGTCTGACCAAACGGTAAATAACTGCAAACTAAATTTGCAAATATTAAACATATTTTGCTAGTTTTTTAAAAGGTATGCATGACATATCTGTAAAAAGTAGTGAATTATATAAGCCTACGAATTGTTTTGAAATTGTGTGGATAAGAATCTACTAAATTGATTTTATTAAACCAAGAATTAATAAACAACCACTTGAAAATATTTATTCGCTGTCCAGAGCAAGTTGGCATCTCTGTGTATGTAAATAAAACTATTTTTGTGAGTTCTATATTGCATTGATTTCTTCAAACCATTTAAGTAACGATAATAATATTTAAAAATTTACTCGAATTATGTGTTTCTAATAATCTTGGCTTCGCCGGTCACCGGTGACCCCCGTGGCACTACGACAAAACTCAGTGCCGGTCACCGGTGACTCCCATGGCATTCAACTTGTTAAACCTGAAACTGTGTTGGGAATTTTAAAAAGTTGGCAAAATTAACCGAAAATCTACAAATTTTAGTTTGTAGTTNAAAAAAAAAAAAAAAAAAAAAAAAAAAAAAAAAAAAAAAAAAACATTTTGTCGAATCCGGAGCAGCTGGAATCTTTGTAAACACTTAATTTGGTAGATTTTGAATCATCATTATAATCT